GTCTCCCTCGTGAACTACCTGTAGACAGTAATTCCCTTTGGGCCGAGCACAGCTCGGGGTTTCAGACAGGTGTGGTAGTTTGCTGCTACGTGCTTCGCTGCCATGAGGAGGGTTTAGCAGACACCTGCAGAGACCTTGGCCTGAGCAGTCCCCAGAGATGACCCTGTCCTGCAAAAAAGTCATGCACGCATCTGTGTGTGATCGGTTACAAAGTGTGCTGATGCTGGGCGTTTTCTTACTCAGATCTAACCCCTGGGTGAAATTGTGGTGCATGTATGTATAGATTTTACAGGCTTTAGTAAAGGATCCTCCTATCTGATGGTGGAATTTGTTTTACAAATATAAAAATTTTCTTTAGCTGATGCTGCCCATCACACTGTGAGTAATCTTTAAACAATGGCAGTGTTACCTACACTAATGCATTTTATGGTATTTGCTATATTTGTAATGGAAAACTGCAAAACTTGTAAATGCATGTTCAGAATTGAAGTTTAACCACACAGCTTCATTCCAGAACTGATGTCTGCACTTTTAGGAACAAGTGAGAAGTGTTGCACTCCCAAAACAGTAAGCCTTTGAGCAAGTGATACAGAAATGGTGTGAGTAATGAAAACTTTTTGTCTATGAAATGGCTGCAGGGAACATGGTCTGTCATGTTCTCAAATTATGCCCCTTCTCCCACACATGAGTATCACCACAGCTTTAGTCACACTGTGCTTGTCATCCTCTTCTCCATAAGGCAGCAGTCTATAGGAACCTGTGTATATGGAAATCATGAGAACAAGGTCAAGAAGTGCTTGGCTATTGAAGCTGGGATTATCCTGTTCTCCAGTGGCCTTTCATACACATCTAATAGGGAACACAGGAATTAGCCACATGGAAGCTCTCATATTTGACTTCTCCACTCAAACAAACATCCTTTCTCCCTCACCAAAACGTATTTTGGAAAACAGTAATGCTGCTCTTCGTACCTGAATGAGATCCTGCAAGGCGAATAGAGTATTCAGAGTATCATTGTGATATCAGTGCCGGCATGATGCATGTGCCACAGGGCTCCATGCTTCAGGAGGACTTACATCAATGCTGTGTTGGTTTTCTACAATAGCGTATGGTAAATGCTGCATATTCAAATGTTTATGGAACCTAAAAGACTTAATTTATTTTCTATATTCAGAATTGAAAATGTCTGAAGACGTATGCGATGGCATCCCATCTGAAGAAAAACCTGAACTAGTGCCCAGCAATGAGGTATTGCCTCACGAGTCAGTACCACACCTTGTGGAAGCTGAAATCTTGCATGAAACTTCACAAGATGAACATGGACAGGCCACTCAGAGTGCCAGGAATGCACAAGAAAGAGATATATTTATTAATGAAAACCCCTTGACTGAAAAAATAACTGAAAGTCTGCCTTCCAGTGGAGAGGCAACTGAAGACATACCCACTGAGTGCAATGAGACGGTAAGCCTTGATGTAGAACCTGAATCTGAAGAAATACTGCATGAACAAAGCAGTCCGGTAAGTAATACTTGCTCTTCCATGAAAACCTTCCCTTCCCTGCTTTGTAAGGACAGAATTTTGTACAATCTACATGCTGTTTTTCATAAAAGCCTAGGGACTTACATACAGAGAACCTGCATGGGAATAAAATAAGTTAAATTGCAACACCAAGCTTTTGGAAATTAGGAACGGTTTAATTTCTCTTTGCCAGTATGATATTAATTTGATCTTTCTAGCCTGAATGCAATAAAACCATACCAGACCCTAAATATTACTAAGAATCTAGTCCATTTTGTATAGATATAATACTCTTGTGATTTTGTTATCTGGATTGCTGTACAAATCTGTGTCATTCAGTTCACAGAATAAACCTAGAAGAGGACAGAATTTAAGCTGCATATGCAGCACTGAATCTTATACTTGCTAATTTTCAAGTCACTGACTTTACGAAAACAGTATGTGTTTCACAAGGCTCAGTGAAACAGAAAGTAGTTTTTGATTTGTTCTAGGCCAGTGGTTTTTGATTTCTGTTCCACAGACCTCTGGGAGTCCTATGAGTAATTGCAAGAGGTTAATAAAATAAAACTAAGACAAACAATACTTTTTTATGGATTACACAGCATCCAAATCCAATATATGTGACAGAGCTAAAGAAGTTCTCATCTCCACTGAAAAATTTTCAGACATCCACAAATTAGAAGAGGTTAAAACACATTCTTTTACTCTCTCCACGAGTGAGAGGGACCTGCCTCAAAGAGGTGACAAGGGATCTGTGCACTGCAAAATGCAGAGCTGTCTTGGAATACTTCAGCTTTTGGTCTTGATTGTGTAGGGATGATATGTTACTGGAGACTTTCTTGAGACAACAATTTCTTAATATGATTTGAATATGGGATACTGATAATCACTTGTTACCACACATTAATGTAAAAGGCAGGCAGCACCTCCTCTGGCTGTGTTTTCATTGAGCTCAGGAGTTCCCTGTGGACATCTACTGGGTTACACCTCTGAAGAGACTCGGGCAAAGAAGCCTCTTAACTCTGGCTGCTGGTTGAACTCAGGAAGGAAGCGGGTTCCTGCTTCTCCGTAATGATAGCTCTGATAAACGTGTATGGCTTTACAGGATTGGATGCCTGAAGAAATATTAGGACATCTGTAAAGACAACTCTGGAGTTTCAGGTGTTTTCAGGAATAGGTGATATGAACTAAGATTCCCATTCTGCTTTCTTGTGGGCAGAAGCTTGAACTCCACATAATACCCAATCTAGCACTGGCCCTAAGCATTTAGGATCCCATTAAGAATCTGTTGTACTTTTGGGAATGAAAAGACCTTTAAAAATCTGTCCTTAGTGGCCAAACTGTGAACATAAAGGTAATATAAATCAGTCATTGTAATAGAGCTAGAGAAGGACATGTCTACCGAGGGATGCTGTATGTGAAATAAGCTTTAGTGTGACACCAAACTCTTAACTCATCCTCCATATGGACACTTTTGTTTCACATTGAAGTTGTAGTCATGTGTTCACTGCACAGATGAGTGCACCAGCATTAGTACCTTCCCAGCCAGATGTTTTAAATCTTCAGCTAGAAGTTACACTCTGCTGTAGAGCCTACAGAACCCGTTATGGGGCCTTTCAGTCACAGCCTGCAGGGTTAGTTTAACCCACTACAGAAGGCTGTTGGAATTAGCTGATCTGACTTTGCATTGAAACAGCCAAATGATCAGTTTCACAGACATCAGAGTGAGGTTGATGACATTGGTTTTCTCCTGGGGGAAGAAGGGGTGAGGTGAGAACAGTAACAACCCTGCAGTGCCGTAAGAATGACAGCTTTCACGCGAGGACTGCTTTGTACAAAAGCTTAAGCATCTGGCAGAGGAGCTGGTGGCAAAGTTTTTGTCAGTCATCATTCTGGTCTATTTCTCTGTATGTTCTGTCTCTTGAGAATCATTCCTCAGAAGGCATCACCATGATTAGGGAAGCCACGTATGATATTACAAAGTGCCTATTTTCAGATTGTATACCCTTGTAAGCAATGGCACAAATATTTTTGCTGGTTATAATTTGTTAAATGACAGACTTTGTTACTTGACAGGTTCTTTGTGTTTCCTTCTGCTGTTAGAAAATGTGAATTTTAGACAGTGGAGTAATATTTTCTTTTTCTTGTAGGCCACAGACTCCTCATCTAAAGCAAGTCGATGGGGAGCTTGGGGTATCTGGGGAAAGTCTCTCCTGTCATCAGCTTCTGCCACAGTGGGTAAGTGTTCAATCAGTAAAGTACGTGGAAATACATCGTAATTGTAATGTGTCATTAGATACATTAATGTTGTCTCCTAAAGGTTCGTAGGCAGTTTTGTCCTGATGTGCTTGGCAATCTTTTTTTTTTTTTTTTCTTTTTTTTTTTTTTTTAAGTAGGAAGGACTTTCCTAAACTGTTAAAGCACATAAATATTTCTTCAGGTCAGATTATGGACCAGGTACTAGGCTTGTTGTAGAGTTATTCAGTTACCTTCTTGTGGCTTCTTCGCAGAAAGGATACATAATCTGATACAATTACTATCAGCCAAAGTCTTATGGTTTTTGAAGTCAGAACACTCCAACACAGATTCATGAACATGCATGTTTGTGGTTTATACACTATGACTTCTATCTGTACAATATGAACTCACTTCTCGTAAATCATTCCAGCTTTCATTGACACTCAGTGAAACTGTTAAGCTATCACACCAGACTTCAGAGAGTAGAACAACATATTGAAACATGGACCTTATACTCCCTCTCCTTATACTCTCATTTCTGATAGTATGTCAGTACGATGTGTCCTTTTGAAGACTTTAGGTAAACATAATCATTACACATTGAAAACTCTCACAGAAAAAAAGAGATGTGTGCAAATACCTAGTTTCTAGTGGGAAATCACGTCTCACGAAACAGCTACTAAGCTGTTAACTAATGGGTTCTCATAACGAATCCACAAAACACCTTCAAAAGATTAATCTAGGAATTAAAATTAAATGCTAGTTACTAAAAATAACAGAATCAATGGAAGTACTAGTTTTATGATCCCATATTAGGCTGAATAATTTTCCTCCTTATCCTTCTCTGTTCCATGGGCAATAAATTATTTCTGTCTATTTCTCAGAGAAGGAGGGAACTTGCCTTATCCTCTCTTCTTCAGTAACACCCACACTCAGGGGTTCATAACTACTTTTTCTTTCAGATAGTCCAACCAATTAACATATCTAATTAAATTCAGAATGGGTTTCTAAGATGTCTTTAAACTGTCATAAGTGAAGGTTGGGGCTGAAAGGAGCAGGCCTGCCCTGCCCCAGCAATGCATTTCTTCCTTCTCTTATGCTAGCAGTAGCCTTCATGTAGTGATGTGGGGAGCTGGTTTGTGGGACTGACTTTGGAAAATACAAATGTCCCTGCCATTGGCAGGGGGGTTGGAACTAGATTATCTTTAAGGTCCCTTCCAACCCAGACCATTCTATGATTCTGTCATTCTGTGATTCTATGAAATGAAGTAAGAGCTGGATCTTCAGTTGGATCGGTTGGTAAATTCTCTAATCTGGCTCACCGTTTGATCACCCGAATGCTACTGAATGGGAAATGATGGGAACACACAAAACATGCCAATGGGGACAAAGGCAGCTTAACTATCTGTGGAACTGTGTAAGTGTTCTCAACTTGTATTTAACCTTAAAGTTTAGTGCTTTTCTTTCAGACTTGAGGAATGCCCTCTGTGTCAAAAATTTTGCCCATTTTTTTCCCAAAACTGTTAGTACATCTAATAAAGGGTACTGCTTTCACAGACTTCCACAAGCCTTGCCTCTCTTACATTCTCAGACCCTCATAACAGCAGCATTCTAAAAAGAATTTGGCTTAGCATAAATAACTAAAGAAGAAAATTTATGTGCATAAAAGTAATTTTACTGTTTATCAGTTGGAATACTGTTGGAATTGTGATGCTGATGAAGTCTTCAGTTCATTTTTATAGTTGCAGCGGTGGGTTCCTTGAACAGAGCTCTTTCACATCATCCAGATTTTGACTTTGCGATAGTCATATTTATATTCTGTTTAGCTTTTGCAATAACTAGTATTCTATCAAATGTACATTCTGATGTTGTTTCTGAGTAACGAGATTATTTGTTACAAAACAGTTACTGTTCTTGCAGGCTTGCCGTGGCAATCTCACTCACAGTCTTCTGTTGCTTAGCAGTCTTGGGCTCACACAGTAATCAGTTCAGCATAACAAAGTGTATACATTTTCTGTGGGGCAGGATGGTCATAGATATTTTCTTGCCCAACTGACATGAGCTTGCCTGAAAATGGCGAATGCTGTTGGAAAAAGTTTGGGAGACAAACAAGAACATGTTTGCATCCCTCCTTAGTAAGTAAGACATACCTGTTGCTTTTGTTTATAAAACCTGCTTCAAGCATTGTATCTCTGTGGATTTCCGTGGACTTTTTAATGACATTATGTCATTTTTATATAGGCCATATAACATCTTGGTTCATATACAGTAAAATTCATGCTTAATTGGTATTGGCTTCTTAACACCATCTGACTATATCAGCATCATGACTGTCTTCACAGAGTGTAACTATGCAAACAAGTTTGTCGGCTAGGCAGCTTGACTTGGTAAGGTTGTGTGATATTGTCTATTTTGAATAGACATACCATCACCATGTATATATACTTTTAGAATTACTCTCATGTAAAAATTATCAGAGTTGGAACAGGTCAAGTTGCCTACGCAAAGGAGTATCTGCATGCAGAAAAAGAAGGTTTTAAAATTATTTTAATGTCACATGAGAATGGTTGCACTATGTCACACTGAAGGCCCATCTGCTATCTAGTTTCTGGCAGTGATCAAGAGCAACTGGGAAAGAGCCCAAAAGCAGATGTATGTAAAGCACTTCTGTTTTCTCTCCCCATTTCCTGGAATCAACTTGGACTTCCTGACCTTGGGCTCGGGGTAGGGTTGATTTCCCATATTACTGTCTAATAATTTTTTTATATTAGTTTATTAAATAAAATAGACTTTGAATTAAGCAGAAATCAAATGTACATTCTTCCATCCCATTGTCACATATTTCCCCTGTGTTATTTTTTTTCCTTATATGGTATCCTGAGTCTGATATTGGATCCTAAATCTTTAGGACAACATTTAAATTTATTTTCTGTGACATTATAACTTGGGATACTAAATCAAATGTTATAATATAGTTCACTGAACCCAAGGTAACTTGGAAGACCACATAGATAATCTTAGATGTGTTCCAGGAAATCAATGCAGCAGGTAATAGTTTATATTCCCAATATAGAGGGCTTATTTTCTAATTGTTTTTTATGGATATTCAAGCTTGATCCTGTGAAATATTTACTGTCTGTCACTGTCATAGACAGGATGTGGGACTGCATATATCATATATCTGCTTCAGTATGATAATTCCTAGCGAGAGGCAGAGAGAGAAAAAATTTGAAGTTATTGGGAATGTCTATAAGCTTTCTTCTTTTTGTTAAATATGTATTACTCCACTTCAAGTTACTCCATTTAATATCTGAGCAGTTCAACCAACACTTCATCTCCTATTCTACATCAGTAAATAGGTTTGCCATGATCCAGTCCATTTTAATGTTGCTTATTCCTTCAGTGTAGCTAATAGTATAAGTAAAGCTGCTTTCTGGGAATTAGACTTACCAGCAACACCTTTGGTATGTGATTTTTCTGTTGCTCTGTAGTTACCTTTGTACAACACAGCTGCTTGTCTGGTTAAATATGTCAAATATTTACTATTCCTTATATTTTTCTTCAAAATTGTACTCTATAAAAACAGCAGAAACAGTTTGAGGTGGACTAGATAACATCTTAAAGGCCTTACCAGATACATTCAGCTTTTAACGAACAGTATCATAGGACAGCGCAGGTTGGAAGGGACTTCGAAAGATCATCTAGTCCAGGCTTTTGTGGGAAAGGGCACCTAGGTGAGATTATTTAGTACCTTGTCCAGTTACATCTTGAAAACCTCCAGCAATGGGGACTCTACCAGGTCCCTGGAGAGGTTGTTCCAGTGAATGATTGTTATGGCTGTAAAAAATTTATTTCTTGTATTCCTCTCTCTTTAAGTCTGAGCTGAAATGGTTGTTCCAAGGACCTCAGTTTCATTATCCTTCAAACCCTGATTTAGAGCTCTGAAACAGATTAGCATTTTTATTGCATGGCTATAATTCATTTACCATAGCTGATTTTGGTTTCTAATAATAAGGTTGTTTCCATATAATTTGTATTTTATCTATCTTTAACTAACTGTGCACATATAGCCAGTGATTGTTTTGGCAATCATTTTGTATTCTAAAGAGTATGTCTGTTGTCTTTGAACTGATTTTGACATTATTCAGATCAAGGTCCCTGCCACAAGTCAGGTGTGATACTCCTTTACACAACAGAATCTGTAATGCGTTTGGATTAGTAGCAGTCACTGCCTGAACCATGCTTAGTGTCTGACACTAGATGTCACACTAAGAAAAGTTACTGAATCTGCCTCATTAAAGAGATGAAGAGTTTTCTTTTGTTTCTAAAACGTGCAAGAAGTTTGGTTTCCCCCCTTGTGGATCCACAGTGGAATAGATCCACTGAAATAGTTGTTTGGATGATGAGATGTGATCTGGAGACACAACTTGTACTTATTGTCACCATTTTACCCTCTTTCTTTTAAATTGTATTTTTTAGTAAATCAATAATTACACCATCCAGTGTTTTAGTAACCGCGTTGATAAACTCTGCTCTAACAGTGGGTTACCACTGCAGCTAAGCCGATCTGATGGCCGGCAGCCACTGCAATGTGCGGTCTTTTCCCTTGCATGTTTCTTCCTCCTCCCTGTGCCAGCACTCATGCTCCTCTGAGGTCCCAGTAATCCAGTTCAAGAAGCTAAACTGACATAAGAATAACTCTAGAGGAAAGAAAAATCCATTTTCTGCTTCTTTAGGTCCTTGAACCAGCTCACTAAGATAAGTGCCAGGGCAAGAAGTAGGGACAAATACGGAACATGAAAGGAGCAGAGCCTCTCCTACCAGCACCAAGAAGCCGTTAGATCAGCTTAGCTGTAACAGCAGACCTTTTATCCAAAGGGCTTAAGTGAAGCAAAATATATGTCTCAGTCTGTGCTTGAAGCTTGAGTCTTCCATTTTTAAAAACAGCTTTTATGTTTGAAAATGTGCCGCTTTGCGTTGTTTTTCAACGAAGCTATCTGCTAGCTTAATGAAAGTTACTGCCTTCTCCTACAAGCCTTGCCTTTCATGTGCTGTGTTGTTTTGTATGGATTAATTATGTCGTTCATAAGGTGCTGAGGTTATGGCACTCAAAAAGCTGCATTTCCAAGGAAAATCTGTTCTCTATCATGCTGTATGCGTGTGCTTCCCTCCGTGTACTTCTGGGGTTTTTTACCTCTAGTGCCATCGGTAAGACCTTCTAGTACATTTAACCACAGCCCTGAAAATGCTGCCTCTCATATGTCTGCAAATATCAGTACAGCAACTGTGTGCCTCCTTCTCTTGGAGGTATAACCTTTTATGCAAAACTATGAGAACCAAATTACAAAATGTATAAGCCCCCCCTCCTGCCGAATATGTTTAGATTAAAAAAAAAATCCCTGAAAATTAATCTGAAAATCTGTAACTCTTTCAAGAACCATTAAAGGGAATTTTTTTTTCTTAATGTTCATAGTTAAATTTTTATTTAGGACACTAATATTTGGTTATCAAGTCAAGTTCTTAAGCCAACTTATGTCAATGGAAATAATAGAATTCTTTTGCTCATTTAAAAAGTTGTGAGCAGGAGAAATGGAAAGGAACGTGACATGGAGTATCTTAATATATTAATTTAAAAGCACAATTAATAGTTATTTCAGTGAGTCCCAGGAATTGGGAGAGTAAATGAATGACTCCAGAATCTATTCATGCTGATATTTTCATTGAACCAATTAAAATGTGCAGTAGATTGGGATTAGAGAAAGCAGTGTGCTGCTTTGCAGTATCTGCATTGCAACAGATTTTGCAAAAGGCAAGAAGTTATCCAGCAATGACTTAAATCACTGTGGTGCATAACCTAGTGTGTCCTGTACAGTTGGATATACTGCTACATTTTGTAAGACATGAGATAAAATAGACAAATGTCATATTTGATTTAGACAGGTAAAAGCATTTACCTGCCTAGTCTCTCTGTTTCAGTGTAAAACATCAGGACCCCATGCAGCTTATGCTGTCATATAGAAAATTATTGTTTCTGCTTGTCTGTTCCTTAGGGGACATCTTTCTGTTTACTTCCAGATACTCCAGCTTTCTTGTATGTGATCTTTCAGTAGTGCTGCTTCACATATGTTTTCTAGAGTATATTTATTATTGAATTCGTAGAGCACCTGATGTGCAATCCATCTGGAAATCATAGAATCTTAAATGTAAGCTTTCCTTCTTCCTGCTCCATTTCAAATGGTTTTGCTGCATTTTTCTTTAATCAGATGTTCAAAAGCATATTTGTATGACTACAGATGTGCACATATATATTCAGAACACTGCAGAGCACTGGCAAATGACAGGCTATTTTGCTGCAGTTAATATAACTCAGAGAAGATGCTTTGAACTTTTCTAGTGGAAAGTGCATACAGTTGTGGGAAAGTATGGACAACATTAATGAATCGTTGTGCTTGACTTCACGCCTTAGATGTCTAGGTATCTGCCCGAGCATCTATATTAATGGCTTTTCTGAAATAATTTATGTATTTACAGTTCAGTTTAAGGTAATAAAACAAAGAAGTATGAAATTGTCATTAATACTTCTCATATGTAGTTAGGCAGATAGTTAAAGCACTCTATATTGTCCTACTGCTAGAAGTGATCAGCTTTGTGTGAGATGCAGTAACAGTGTACTGTGCAAGAAAAAATACAATGGGGTCACTGAAGCCATTTCATTTTGTGTTGGGAAGAAGTATTGCTCACCTGGTTGGTTGTTTACTTATTGTTTCGCAGCTGATGTGCAGACACTTCCAGCTAAGAAAGGTGTACTAGCTGGATCATGTGTAATGAGAGAAGCATATCATTGACATACTGATGGATATTAACAGCGTATATTAACATACTGATAGAAGCAGAACAGGCAGACAATTTGAGGGTAGTATTTTTTAAAAGCAGTGTTTTTCAGCTACAGCTGATGCAGATTAGGAAGCTATTGCCTCCTTTTGCTGACTGTCAGGCAATCCCACCCTAACATGTAGTGGAACATTACCAGTCCACATGATCTACTAGTGTAAATAAACTCTGTGTAGGAAAGCAGCAAATCAGTTCCATTCTGTCAAAATTATTCCGATAAAAACATGAATAACAGATATTCTTTACATTAAGCTAGATCATTTTAATGGAACAGAGAGTTAGGGAATCACTACATATGCACAAGGTAAAGGTGGTAAAATTCCTGTAGAAGATCAGCTACCACTGGAACAATAATTCTCTCTGTGTCATTTGACACCAACAGACTTTACAAAGTGTATTTTAACAGCAGCTTTGAGGAGAGACACTTCAGAATTTTACTTCAAATGAACAATTGAGGAGCTTAAATCCTGAAATAACTTTAAGGACCTGGATGAGTATTCCTAAAATACCTACCTAACACAGCACCTACACAGCAAACTGAAGACCAGATTCCTTACCTCAGCCCTGCAGTCACCCACAGTCCATTAATTGTGGGTTAATTGTTCTAGACTTCTGAAAACTAGATCAGGCCAAGCCCTATGGTATTAGGAGGGCCATCAATTTCTGTTTAAACTGATTGTAACAGAATGTTTAGCATTTTGAAAAGCAGAGAACTAATCTTACTTGTGCCACTGAAACAAGTTTTGGATTTCAGATCCAGTGTCATTTGTATTATATTCCAGCTTTATTGTTTCTAGTCAGTTAATATAATGGATATACTAGGACAAGTGAATTGCTAACCTAGAAAAAAATAAGGCAATTGAGATAAGTTTAATAGTTATTCTGATTGTCATAATTTGTGTAGTATAAGAATACTATGTACTGTTAGTAATAAGTTTTCAAATCGTATAATCTAAAATATGCTTCTGCTGCAGGTCATGGGATAACAGCAGTAAAGGAAAAAGCAGGAACTACCCTAGGAATTCATAACGCAAGTTCAGCATCTTCAGAAACAACAGAGCCTTCTGCAGCTGAAACACCAATTACACGTAAGTTCAAGTTCACTGAAGTGGAACAAAACTGTTTGACACTACCAAAGTAGTCCAATTTACAAAATGATCACAGAATCCAGTTTACTGTAATTTGTGACTTGAAAGTATGCTGTAGCTTGCTTTTTCTCTTTTATTAGAAGCAGAAGATTCTCTGGACCAAAGCTCTTCTGAGAATATTCCTTCTCCATCTGGATCTCGTGGCGTGTTGTCAGCTATCACTAATGCTGTACAGAATACAGTGAGTCATTTTAGCTGGCCTCTCTGCTCTAGATATTCTTCATTATTTTTAGGTGCAACTTCACTGTAGGTCACATTTAACAGGTAGGGTTTGTTAAGTTGTAGGTCTTTGTTAAAACAGTTCTGTTGTAAGTCTGTTTAGAGTCTCTTCCATGGCAAAATAACTCTCAAATTAAAAAAAAAAAAAATACAACTAAGTCAGTTACTGCTTTGGCACTAATTTCAGTGAAAAAATATGGTCTTCTCCTGAGCTATATAGAATTCTGCAAATTCTTGGGAAATCTGTTTTATAGTTGTGGAACCGTCATCTAATTTCTTTTACAGTTAAGTCCTTCCAGAGAAAGTATGATAAGATTTGTTATCATTTTTGAAGGCAGATAAAATAAGAAAATAATTCATTTGCTTATTTGAAGGCTTGTACTAAATAAACTCTGTATTGTTAGTCCCTGGCCCTTACCTTCATTTCTCTATCTAGTCTCTCATTTCATATTAGCCTTCCCAGGAGGTGGTCTGATTGCAGACTCAGTGAGGCAAAATCTTTTGTCCATGGTTCTTTTCTATTACACTCTGTATATATTTTTGATGTGTTGCACTTCATCCTTTTCTGTTTTAGCTTTAGAAAAATCCTGTACCATACTGTTTCCAAATCAATTTTTATGTCATCTTTTTCCCCAAAATTTTTTATGGACTATTACCATAGCAAATGCTTTCCTCTGAGCTTTTCAATATGGTATTTCCCTTGAAATTATAAGCGATTTTAAGCATCAGCTAAAAAAGCATAGGAGACTAACTCCCCACTGAGCATGTTTTACGAAGTAGCAGTTATTTTTTAGTGCATACCCAGTTCATCCTGAGGGCTTCATCGCTCTAATATCAAAGATTTTGGGAGCAGAGGGAGGTTCCTATAGACTATTCCTAGGACTGTTGTTACAGAATCTGGAGCATTGTAGGGCTTGTGAGAGCCGGACACCAGTAGCATTACCTGAGCATTGTAAAAGATTTTCAAATAAGAGAAATGTGCTCCTTATGCAAACCTAGAGAGGCCACCGTACCACAGTGCTGAATGTCACCAAACAAAAAGAATAACTTAAGGTCTCAGTAAGTTGCCTGTAATGCCATTTGAGACTTTGGCAGGGTTTTCCATTATATGTCAGGTTACATCAGCATGTGAGTATCTGACAGATGCACAATCCAGATTGAAATGGAAATCTTTAGCCAGTGATAATTCTTCTTCAGTGGACATGAAAAATTGTGAGGGCTAATGCTAATACCAAGGCCCAGGAAAAACAACTGTATTTCTATAGACATTTCCAGAGTGTCAACATTTTAGAAATCAGTTAGGTAAGGTAGGGCCATCCTGTTCATGATAGATTTTGGCTCCATATTATTCATGTCTAAAATATGTTCCCACAGACTAGATGCCACTTCAGATGAAATCAAAGTGGTATTATTAATAATTTTTTTATTGGCAACAGATGTTCCCTTTCCTCTGGTGTGAGTTGTTTAACTAGAAATATTTGTATACTTCATTTTTTTTCTTTTTGAAAAGGTATTCAGAACAAAGTAACATAATTTTATAGATTAGTTAAGTAATCATTAGTTAAGGCATCGAAAATCTAGGGACCTGAATGTTCAAAGACAGTGCCGGCAAAAGCAGTACTCTTTACAGTTCATGTTAGCATAAAATTGAAAGAAAATAACTGCATTGCATTATTTTACACAGGGGAAAAGTGTATTATCTGGAGGCTTAGATGCTTTGGAATTTATTGGGAAGACAACCATGAATGTCCTTGCAGAAAGCGATCCTGGATTTAAGAGGACGAAAACACTGATGGCAAGAACAGTTTCTCTATCTCAGGTTGGATTTATTTAAATACAGCTCTGTCAATGCAGTTTCAGATGCTTTATTTATTGCAGTAAATATTGGCTAGGCTTTATGTTTGCTCCACTTTCTTTTTCTTCACAGAACCACAAAAGATAATGTAAAATCATCTTCTCTGCATAATCACATGCATAGTAGCTGATTTTGATAACACAGTGTATGTGGCAATAAATCATTACACTCTGGAGACAGAAGCAAATTGTTGGTGTTTTTGTAAGAGCTGTAGATACGTATCTTCCAGCATAAACATCACTATACTACTTTCCTTGGAAATGAGTAATACTGGAATGTGGCATATGTTTCATTAGGAATTAAAGCTGTGAAACGTTATATCTTAATGTCTATCTAAACTAATGGCATTCTTACACAGTGATGACTCACCTGTTTAAAAGTTCAGCGACATGATAAAAACAGAAGTATAACTGCTGTCAGTACAAAATCATTTTAAGCTCTCTGAACACTGAGAGGAGGGAGGCTGTGGAAATCAGTAGACATTGAAAAAAACTTTAATTTAAATACATGTTTACTTCCTTGTAGAGAAAAGTAAGGTATTTTTCTTTTAATTAGGTGTTTCATCTTTAGTGTGGGTCATTGTAAGTGTAAACAGACTGGTACTGTTGTAGTAGGCCAAAAGCAAGTAACTCTTGTTCAAGCCCAAAGGGTTAAAATCAGCTTTTCAGAATACTTTCCTAACCGATATCCATGAATTCACACATAAAATCTGAGGCAGAAAGTGACATAAATCAGATCTTATGGGTCACATAACACAGTGCTTCCTTTTTGGTGATTTGTGCATAAAACTTTATAAATGATCTTCTGAAGGTGGAGGCTGAAAATTCTGCTGTCATAAGTCTTTTATAACAAATTAATACCTGAAGACAATATAGTATAAATTCTGAATGATGCAATAGCATAAGTGGTGAGAGTTCACTTGTATTCAGAGGCTTGTTTGTGACTTAAGATGCAGTTTCCATGTATTTACCAGCTTTACTGTAGCAAATTCATAGGAGAGGCCATTCCTTCCTGGGAATAGAAGGAAGGAATAGAAGATCCTATTCTATGCACTATTCTGTGAAGATCACTACAAAATGGAGTATAGTTCTGCCCCAGCTTCAGTAGGAGTCATACCTCATGAGGCCAATCTCTTTTGTCAGTCCTGCTGTCACATAAAACCGACTTTAGTATCTGCTAAAAGTATTTTATAGGAAATATTTGTGTAGGTGCATTATTTATGCAAGTCGGTAGGTAGGTCCTGAAAACAATATTCTTCCCATTTGGTGGTCTGTGGAATAGACTGCCTGACTCTTTAAGGCTGTGTATGAAATAATCCTTTTTATTTTTCTTCCATTGTAATTGGTGACTAAATTTATTATATGGTATCCATAGCTGACATTGCTTTGGAGAACATGAGCAAGATTATTTGTTTGTTCATTGGCTTTTTTTTTAAAGATGGTTAGCAGTTACCATTGGGAAAAAAACACACTTAAAATGCTACTTAAATATTTTATTAGAGAAGTTTATCCAAAAAAAAGTTAGATATTTCAGCTCTAAAATTTCAGCTCTGCAGGTGTGATATACTCCCAAATTTTATTACTACTTTCTAGGCAAGCAGAAGCAGAAAGTAATAAAATCTGTCATACCTACAGCACTACCAATAAAACAACAGGAATGATGTATATTTTTGCAGCTGTTGCGGGAAGCTAAAGAAAAAGAGAAACAGAGGCGGGCCCAGCAAGTTACAGTTGAAAGAACAGCACATTATGGACTACTTTTTGATGAGTTCCAAGGTTTGTCTCATCTTGAAGCTCTGGAAATCCTCTCAAATGAAAGTGAAGCCCAGGTACAGTATGCAGACAGTATAAATCAAAATGGTTGGTAAAAAATTGTTCTTTACATTAATTTCACTCTGCAGGTGCATGTGAAATGAGTAGTAAGTTTTCAGTTGACTTTAGGGAAAGCTGAATTGGACCCGCGGGCCAGCCCTGGGCTTTAGGAAATCAATCTCAATACATGTAAAATTTAAATCCAAGATTAACTCAAAACAAGCAACTTCACAACTACATGTTATTTTTGTTAGGACCATATATCAGCTTGTGACACTGTGCAGATGTCTTTTCAGAATTTGCTAGGAGGTTGATGCCTTTTGGTTTTGTATCAGTCACTGGTACTTACATTCAGGAATTCCAGACCTACACCTAGAGGGTAGTGAATTGAAATTAATGCCATATTGCTTATTCAATTCCTAAGTCTTCTTTATTGTGTTAGGTTTTAAATTTACATAATACTACCCCAAGATATCATTACTGGAAGCATACAAATACTATATGTCTCTCTGAAGAACATGCTAAAGTTACTAAGGCCTATATGATAAATATATTTTTAAATTTCAGCTGTCAATAGATCTCTGACAGTAGGTTAATAGAACTTTTTTAGATTCCCAGCAGTGGTATTTTGTACTGAGGCAGTTTTCTGAAAAAAATTCTTAAAAGGCATGTTTTCTTCTCTTCTGTTTTAGTAGTTATCACTCCTTGCACTCTAGGTGATTTTTAATAAAAAATAAAACATTTAAAAAAATAAGTTGGTTATTTGCTGTCACAAAAGAAGCTGATTTTAATAACAGCTAGGTACATACTGTCCACACTGGTTTTGCATTTTGCACTTATGTCTAAATGCAAAATTATAAATTCAAAAGCTATATGTGAGGTTCAAGGGCCTGCTTTTGGAAAAAAAAAAACCAAAACCCACAAAACAGGAAAGAGATAAATAGAAGACAAGCTCAGGTTAATTGCACGTGTCAACACTATTTTTTTTTACTGTTAAAAAACTTTTACTTCCTTACCACAGGGTAAGGAAGACTTCTTGCAGGTTGTTACCATGAGGTTTCTAATGTGCTTCATGTTATGTCTTAGATAACCCCTGGTTCATAGTCCTACTCACTCTAACAGGATTGAAGGCAACTGTTTGGGTCAACAGGTCCAGTTCCCTGATATATGTTCCAATACTCACAGAACATCTTCCAATTACAAACACACACACAGAGAATACTCACAGTACTATAAGCTTGAGACCTTTACTAACAGCCCAAAAGCCACACTCCAGTGGGCCACAGGAGGAGTGAAAGAGAGACTGAAGGCATTGCTAATGTCCTATGTCCTTCTAATAGCAGGGATTTAAAAATATTTCAATTTTTTTTTAAAGTTTCCATTTAAAAAAAGTCCCAGTTAATGCTGTGAAATGGACAATGCTATAACAAGGGCCAAAAAGCCCTGGGTAGTCCTCCTTCACAACCTGAGTTGGGTCTTCCAACTTTATCTTGCATTTAACTCTGAGCATATGAGCTGGCCACATCAAGGAGGAACATAAGAAAATAATGGCTTTCTCCAGTCTCTCACTGAGCCAGTCTGCACATCTGTCAAGCAAGCTTAACAAAAACAACCTTGAAACAAACCTAAAAGTGAAATTTTGTATCAAATGGAGAGAAGGCATTTCTCTCTTGGCAGAGTGTGTGATCATGGGATTTACACCACATAACTGTACTGCAAACAAACAGTGATTCGAAGAATCTGTTTCCATCCCCCTTAGGCTTGCCACACTATTAGATGTGCAGTGCCTTGCGGATACCGGAGACACCCAAAGATCTGTCAGTATGTTCTTCAGAATGGGTAGACTGGTAGACTGTCGATAATTTTGGTTGCATTTTGAAGGAGGGGAAACAGGCTCCTTTTGCAACTTCTCCTGTGAGTGCTCAGGCTAAGCATGAATTCTGCCTGTGCTCTTCTTTCCTGGTGTCTTCATCCAAGCAATCCCAAAATGCTTTTTACAGTTTGCAGTTAAACCACAGTTTTATAATTCAAAACAAATGTTCTGTGAGAAGGTAGAGACCTGATGATCTTGCAAGGCTGGTGTAATTGTTGTGTTACTCAATTAATTTTGTTGATGAGAACTAAAAATGCATCTACATAAGTTGGAAGGTTAGAGACAAGATTTGAGCATAATGGAAGTTTCCATTTCTTAGCCTCTTTTGGTATCAGGCTCAAAATTAGCACTTTAAGAAAAAGGCTCAGTTTTGTTTAGGAATTCCTTCTGTCCTTTCTTTTACAGATTCAGTCATATTTAGCAAGACTTGATGGAGAACAGTTGGAGACTGTGAAAAATGATTTAATTGCTATAAAGGAGATTTTCATTCCAAAGGAATCGGGTGATGAAGTGGTACAGGCAGAGAAAGGTAACTAGAAAAACAGAGACTTAACCTTATGAATAATCATTACTTCTGCATATAGTAGTTTAGAAAATTACAATCCAAACTAGAATTTCTGATATCTTGATACTCTTCATAAGCAAGTAAAATTAATACTCTGAAAGTACTGGAAGCTGATCCATGCTTAATTTTGAATTTATATTGTAGCTGAAGTGTGAGAGAGAAAATATAAGGTCAGGAAGTATTGTATTACTTTACTATATTGTCAGTGAAAGCAAAACAAAAATAAGAATAACCTTTTGGATAACTGAGGTTTTCTTATGGAATCTCTTTATGAAGTTGTGTAATCTGAAAGTTTAGGAGAGTTTAGCAATGCTTTTCTGTTTAGCGACTTCATCCTTACTTTGCACCCTCCCTTGCTAGATAGGGAAAAGATTAGAGTGCAATAAAGGGACTTAAGAACCTGAACTTTTTGAAGGAAAGTCCCTTTGAAACACAATGGCAAAGCTGCTTTCTAAGTATTGCTTGGCAAGATGTGGCATGTGGAGTGTGAGAAATAACTATGACACAGTGCACAGCATCAAAGAGAATGGGACCAGCATGGCAGTCCATAGGTCAGCTCACAAAAGTTACAATAAGATGGGTGGGCCCTTTGGTTAGGGGCAAAATAGGTGTTTTAAATGGGCCATTCCCCAGAACAGGCTGGGAACAGAAGGATAAGAAGTTAGCTTAAAGCCACCATAGTTCTTGTCTCCAGGCCTATGAGATCCATGCCAATCTTCTCCTAGCTAATAGGAACAATCCCTTTGACTTGACTGCTGAGTGTCTCATGCCATTAAACACGATATGGTTGTGTTTCAGAAACACAGAAATATAGAAAGATATTTCTTCCACGTCCTCTTGATCTTCTATGGGGTTCTTTGCCCATAAAACCTACATTTTGCAAGATGATGAGGTATGATTTCTCTAGCCTTCAGAAAAGTTAGAAAAAAATGTGTTAACATCCACATGTTGTATCCGGAAAGTCTTTTCTGCTCAGACTGCTCTTTCTAGCAGTGCTTACCCAATGTGCCTAATGTCTCTTATTGTTTCTTCTTGGGGGGACAGCGAGTGTTCAGTGTAGTCTTGGTGTGGTAGTTTTTTGCTGTTTCTTTCCCCTGTTACTTTTTTTTAAAACTGGGTTTGTGAGAAATAGAAGTCAAGAAAGTGTATTACCTGCTTAAGAGTGAAGATTCACGAGATGTCTGTTGCTCCTTAATTTCTGTGTGAAAGAGCTCCTTGCTTTGAAACCAGCCCCAGGAAAAGCTCTGTTTCTTGCATAAAGTGACGTTTTCTCTGTTGGTCAGTTCTGTTTTTTCAGTGAAGCACAGCTGCTGATCACACTCCTTGAAACATTAACTGTCCTTCTAAATAGGCAATGTGCACCTTAAAATCAAAAAGACAAAATCAGAGTGTGCTGCAGGTTTCCCCCAGCAAAAGCAAATTAGTCAGCACTGAAACATCTCCTGTCTGTGACAGCAGAAATAATAAGCACACACATGTTCTCTCCACCTTACAGCTGAATGGATGTTACTTCAGGCTGCAGTTCAAAATTACATACTTTTTAGTGCAGTCAGGCTCAAGATTTATCAGTATTTGAACTACAGATAAATTTGATATATTAGTATTAAGTTGGATAAATTTAATTCCACTGGAGGACATCAAAATAACAGAATGGTTAATCACTTCTCAAAGTAGCTTTCTGTTAGGGCTGAGCTGACAATTCTGTGGTCAGGCTCCTAACCTGGGTCATGTGGCCTTTACTTCTTTCTTCGGTCTCTCACTCATAATCCATAGTACATGCAACACCGCATGGAGAGTGCTCTTAACACTGTATAGTGCTTTGACACATCCCCTCTAGACAGTGGCCTAGTCTGGGTACCCTTCGCAAAATATGTTATCTTCATTAAAATCTTACCAGAGTGATTGAAGGGTTCTTATGATCCTCCTGAGTCAGGGAAAACCAACCTTTTTCCTGAATTGCTCTATGCACAGGATCATAAAAGCATTTTTATTAAGTACAGCAAAAGCATAAAGCTTTATAGAACTTAAAGAATGCTATTAATAAGCCCTTACATGACACTTGTCTGCCGTTTTTAGATAAAAACAATGTCCAGCACCTGTACATGTAATGTTGTATGTGATTTGCATGTCTGTTTCCCCTCATGCATAACAGTTTTATTGAACAGGTTAATGCTTCATTCAGACTTTGGTTTGCCAATCTTTACATAATTTAAATTGGATTCCTGTGACTTGTGCTTGACTACACTTAGTGTTCTGGTCGTATTCTATCAATAAGTTTAGCTTTCCAGGGAGCACACCTGATCTTTTAGGGTCTAGGTTTAAGTTGTTTGGTTTTATTTTTAAACTGGAATTGTTTACCTGAAATGACTTGTTGGGACCTTAAGCATATTTCTGTGGCATAATTAATATTTACACTAAGAAAATGGTCTGCATTTAATGTTAGCAAAAATTTTAAACATGATTTAGCATCCAGCATAGATAAAAGACTGTAAAGTTTAGCAACAGGTTGGCTGATCAGGATTAAATGCAGCTCATGTCGTGCTGTGTAGAGAAAGCTTCATTCTAGTATGTGTTCTTAACTCAGGTTAGTTAATACAATTAAGGTCCTGTTGACCACATTAATAGGTTTTTCACTTTAAAAATCAAGTCAGTAAACCATATGCTCTTTTAATACCTTATCTTTTATTACAGAATTAATTATTTTTGCTTAAGATAGCTAATCTAGCAAGAGGTAGCAGGCTATGTAAATTCTGTGGAGAAATTCTGAGTTTTAATCCTGCTTGCTAAACAATTTAAAACTAACTTACCTGCAGCAGGATTTTAATTTGTGCTTCCTAACTCAACAAAACTTGTATTTTTTTTCCTTTATGTAAGGAAGCTACCACCCTACAAAAGACAGAGATTAATGGGGTTTGAAAATGTTAAATCTTACCCAGGCACTGAGCAGTATTTGAAAACAAGTTAATTATCAGTTATTGATAATTTGTTACCATTTTCTTGTCATCAAAGTCAAATTATTTATATAGTGTCATTTGTCAGTGCTATATATATTCAGCAAAAAAAAAAAGACTAGCTGGGAGGAAAGACTACATTGGATTCAAGTGTTTGAAAAGGGTGGCCGTTTGTTTTATGTAAATTCTCAGGATCCCTTTTTATCCTAGACTCTGAGGATCTAATTTGTAGATGTTTGTTCTGCTTTTAGTTTCTACAGTAAACACTTTCTGTCCTACACAAGAATTACAGCAGTGAACTTTGGAGAACTGTTTTGGGAAAGGACTGGGGCTCGGCTTTGTTCTTGGCAACTTGGAAACTGGAATTGTAGGGTTATTGTGTCTTTGCTTAACAGTCAGATAGGTGCCAAATGAATAATAAAAGAGAGACAGAGAAAAGGTATTTTCTGACACAAATGTTTTCTCTCACTTTGATTATGCAACCCTTTTATGTATTTTTCACCTCAGCTTCTTTTCCTTTCAGTTGTTTATGAAATAATGAGAGGAGAATTTCTGAAAAAGAAGCTTTACCTACAGTTTGAAAGCAAATTAACAAAATATTTCAAATATGAAGTTAAGGGAGACGGTAACCAAAATGAGAATTTAATTGAATACGCTAGTTATCAACAATTTTGGTAACATTGCATTGATCCAGTGCAGCATGGTGTAGTTTATAAAACAATTGGGCCTTGTTTTAAGAACAAGTTAATTCAGTGTATCCAAGAGGTGCTGTATTGCAAAACTTGAAAATCCTATTGCCAAAATTTACTGATAAGGGCAGCAATTAAATGAACTCTGTGTATCTCTTTGGCCTGCCAGAATACATTCTTCTTGAGCTGTTCCCCAGCTGTTAAGAGGAAGGCTCAGTCTGTTGGTCATTGCAGGTGAGGAGTACTTCATGCTAAATGCTAATTTATTTTATAGCACCAAAGATGGGCACTCTCTTTACAGGCAAGGGTGAGATGTCTTTTGCTCTAGGAGACTGTAATCGGAGTGTGAGATTCCATCACGTTTCCACATGTTCCAAGGTATTGTGGACTGTAAACAGTTGTACCAAAATCTCCAAACTCATTGGAGGTAATAGCCCTCCACTTTTAAGCTCAGTAGCAAAGATTTGCATAAAAATGGAAAAACTGGCCCTACCTAATACATGAACTAAAAAAAAAGGGGGAATACAGCAAGACATGAAATTAATTTTTGAAGTAGCTGGACTTTTGCCAGGCTTATTATGGGAGGTGTAACCTTATAGCACCATCAAGCTAAAAAAAATGGTTTTGATATATTACTCCAGGAAATGTTAATGAAGATTCCAAATTCAGTAAGTGCAGATGAACAGAACCAATCAAAATACCAACTTTTACGAGCGTAGAGTATGCTAGAATATGGCAAATGCAAGTAGTCAAAGGAATATGTATAATCAAGGTGAAGTTTGAATACTAGTTATATTTATCTTTGCTCATAAATCTTTTGAAAATAAGTGCAGAATCTTTAAAGCTCATTACTCCAAAGCAGAACAGAAGACATTCTTCATTTGAGCAAAACTCAATCTTAAGATAGAAAGAAAACACACCTCTTAGCTGTGGTTTGCAGACAGAGTGATAGAGAATATGTTCTCCAGTATGTTTCCTCTCAAACTTATTTGTATCTGGCCCTGCTGTAGCTGTTATTCCTTGGCTTGAAAGAAGAGGTGAGTATCTCTTCTTCTTTGGTTATTTTGTTGGTCGTGAGGTGGGTGTCAGTCTCTTTTCCCAAGTAACAGGTGATAGGATGAAAGGAAATGGCCTCAAGTTGTACCAGGGGAGGTTTAGATTGGATATTAGGAAAAATTTTTTCACTGAAAGTGTTGTCAAGCACTGAAACAGGCTGTCCAGGGAAGTAACTGAGTTATCACCCTGGAGGTATTTAAAAGATGTGTAGATGTGGTGCTTAGGGACATGGTTTGGTGGTGGACTTGGTGGTGTCAGGTTAATGGTTGGACACAATGATGTTAAATGTCTTTTCCAACCTAGATGATTCTATGATTCTATGAGTTTTTGTCAGGTAACTAGCGATCAGGCAGCTTCTTCTCATCCTACCTGTTTTTGTGAAACTTAGTTGAATTTAGAGTGGGGTGTAAAAAGTAGCTGAATTGTCAAGCTAGCATGTCTGGTTGTACAGGTGTCTCTGTTGCTTTTTCTCTTCTGACTTTGAGCATATACACATACACACACACCCCCCTTTATTTAAAACTATTTTACTGGATGTGTTTGATAGTGTAAAATGTTATAGTGATAATACCCTAATAAAAATTGTCTTGTTTTTTCTTGCAGCAGATATGGGAGAAGAGTTTGTCAGCATGCTCACTGAACTGCTGTTTGAATTGCACGTTGCTGCTACTCCTGACAAACTTAATAAGGTTAGCACCTGTTAGTGAGCTGCCCTCTGTTTCTTGGACAAAGAGGGAGGGCTTTGTTCTGAAATCTGACATAGAGCAGTACCTGTCTCTGTTCAGACAGTTGAGAAAGCAAAGTATAGGAGGGTGGGATTAAAATGATGTGTATAGAAAAGCTTTTGTAGACGAGGTGAGATTAATAAGGCAATACAGTTGGCAACGACTGGCTAGCACAATGGGCTGTGTTAGAAAGCCTTGAATCATGGATGTCTCAGTGGAACAGAGTTCATGAACACAGCAGATTTGGTCTTCATACTGGGAACAAAGCTCAGGTTCAGAATTATTTTTCTTGCTCATCCTGGTTATTCTTCTGAGGGACTTCTCTAGACCTTCTCAGCTAGAAGCAAAGTCTTGAATTTATCTCATCTAGCTTCAATCATCCAAAAGTTAGGTGGCTAGAAACTAGTCACATCTCAAGTCACATTTTTACTGTCAGGCCCCTTTAAAGGTGATTCACCTGCTGATCTTAGGCTCAGATGAATGTTTATCCCTCTAGCTACATAGATAGACTAGCTTAGGCTTAGGTCTTGAGATATTTTAATTTGACTTCATGTTAAAAAAGAGAAATCATAAGTTACCTACTAACTGTAACAGTAGTCTGAAGTTATATAAAACCTCAAGGCTTTTCCACTTTGATCTACTTTCATGCCTGGAAAGGCAGCTGAAGATACAGGGATTTTTCTGTTTATTTTTCCTTCAAGAATTTAGGACATCTCTCTTACATCTCTTTTTTTTTTTTTTTTTTTTTTTAATACCACCTTCTTATTTTTTTATTTGGGAAAATTATGTCCATGTAAATTCCTTTGAAAAATACTAGTAACTTCAGTATTAAAACCAACTCTTATGTGTTGGTTAGGAATATTGTACCTGTACAGGAGTTATGCCTGGCTGATCCATCTTTATGCAATCAGAAATGCTTCTACCTACAGTTTCTTAAAGATACACTTAACTAAATGCTACACAGAAGCTTGATATGTTTAAACTTCTGAATGTAAAAATGAAGTAATTAAATGTATTGTTAATTAATGTTCAGGAACATCATTTGATGTTCCCTATTTGAACTGAACTTTGGGGTTGGGTTCTTTGTTTGGCAGGCTAGGAAAAAAGCTCATGAATGGCTGGAAGAAACCAGTTTTTCCACCCCAGTAGACATAGAAGAGAAGCTAAAAGAAAAACCTGGAGAACCTTGTGAAGAAAAAACTGAAAAAGAAGATAAAATTGACAGTGATAAAAAAGAAGTAGATAAAAACAAAACTGTGGAGGTAAAATAGCTTTTGGAGGATAAGTTTCATTAAGAAAATTGTCATACTTTGTTTGATAAGATTACTTCTTTATCTTTGTGTGTTGGTTTTATATGTTGTCCTTTTTAAACTCGTGGAACTATTAAGAAATATTAATATGTAGCTATTCACTGTAGAACCAATAGAAAGCTAACTTACATAAATATTTTTACTGTTAATCTGTTCCCATAAGTAAATATCAAAGTAGCAGGTCCTCTGCCTATCACATTGTTTTTATTTTTTATATCTATGTTTTTGTGTGTATGTATATGTATACACAGTGTACAGTGAGCTGAGGGATTCTGTAGTGTAATGTCGATAACACACTGAAAGTTATATCTCAGCACTCTTTGGCACCTCTTTTTCCCAGTGAGAATATATGGAAAAAATTCTCAAACTTTATTTAAACTCCTAAACAGTTTAAATCACAAACAAGACAAAACAGGAATATTACTTAGGCAACTCACAAGTGTTCATTCTTTTTATGAAAGATAGCCCTTAATGCAAAAAGTATGGTGTCTGTTTAGATAATCCCTTTTGTTGATAAGGTTAAATTGTGACTGAAAATTTTACGCCAAGTTATAGAAGTATTTCTTTGTCAAGATTTTTTGAAGGAATTCTAATAAAAAAAATAATCTGTCATGTTCCCTTACGAAAAAGGTCCAAAGAAGGAAACAGAGTTGCACTGTATACATTACAGATTTTTATGCAATTGCAGATTTCCAGCTGGTATCAGCTTGTGAAAGCTGTAACGCCATAGTGCTAGGTAGAATTTTTTATTATTACTGCTAAAAGCCACTTTTTTATTGGGAGTATTATCCATTTCTACTCTTGGCTCCGTATGAAAGTAATTATGACTTATTCCAGAGTTAAGGGATTTGTATTTGTTAGGACTAGGTTTAAAAGTGCTGTTTTAGAAAATCCAAGAGCTGACCTAGTTCCCATCCAAATAAACAGTAGACTTGTTCTTACTAATTTTTCAGGATGAGTACAAGGTCTGTATTTTATAATTTGTGGATATTTCATTTTTCAGTATTTTTTGGATGGCATTATGGCTAATGTTACTTCACTATGTATGTGGTGGTATTTCCAGTTGGGGTGGGGAGGGCTCATAGGTTTCAAATTTGTTTATATGTATGTATCTATATGTATCTTTATCAGTGTTGTTATTTTTGATTATATTATTCCCTGGTTTTAATTTAAGGAAATCTACATGCTGTCCATTGAAAGTCTGGCTGAGGTAGCTGCTCGTTGTATTGAACAGCTTCATAAAGTAGCAGAATTAATTCTACATGGGCAGGAAGTAGAAAAAACAGCTCAAGATCAAGCAAAAGTACTGACAAAGTGAGTATTATGTATTTCATATATGAACATTTGACATTTGCTTAAAGCTTATGAAGTTCTGTTCAGCTTTTGGCACTTGAAGACACAGTAAGTTCATGGATCAACAAACAGCATTGGCTTTAGGGGTCCTGGTGCTATATTTTCTCATGGAATCAAGTTATATAGGCTACCTGTCATTTTTTGACATGGCTAACATAATGTATGTCTACAAAAACATGACCTATTTACAGGCTGAAAGTTGTTTCTGCTCCAGCAAGTGAACGTTTATCCTAATTTTGGGTTGCATTTCCTGTTCCCTCTGCAAAAGATGCTGTGCTAGCATATACAAAATTTGCTTTTAGAATGCATAATGCAGTCTTATTATATCCCAGTAGAGTTTATAGTGTTATTATCTAGTGTTTATCTGCCCTGCCAAAAATATACAAAAATCAATCTGTAGTTCTAAATAGTCAGACCACATTTGTCTGCAAATTTGTAGTAAACCATGACAACACATACATACACGCAAGAACCCAGTTTATCTAGTGGAACTCAAAATACATATCTCAAGCTCACTGTTGCAAATGATTTTACTAGTTTCAGTGGGCTTTGACATTAAGATATTGTAAGCACTTGAGTCCTCAGTAAGTAAAGTATTTAAGCAAGTGTTTAAGAATGCTAGTAACAATAGCAAAGTCCATAGGAACACTTCAGTCTAAAATGACGTACTCAAGTATTTTTCAGAGGTAGAGCTAAGGTATGGTGCAGCTTGCAGGATGAGGTTCTATATGATGCACTTGTGAAAGATTAGCAAAAGAGTGAAAGATCTAGGAGCAGAACTAGATCTCCTTGTTCTCTCGTATTTTAACCACAAGGATGCTTCCTCTTTCAGTAGAGGAGATGTTTTATTACTCAGATAGGAAACTTCTCACTGTTCTCCTTAACGTTTGATTTATTTACGACAGTATTTCTAGGAGTTGTGTTGCTTCAGTCATCAGAAAAACAATAGTTAAACTAGAAACTAGTTTAGAATTTTAAAAAATTGAAACATTGCCCTATCAAAAAAGAAAAAAGACTAGTATTTGAGCCAACATGACATCATTTTGCTGCTGTAGTCAACAATGGGTTTTTCAGTGAAGGAATATAAAAACTGGTTCATGAACAAAGGTTACCCCAAAATATTTTGAAAATTACTAACAGCAAAATTGTCTTACGAACCATCTTGGCTTCTAAGATGAAGTTTGTGCTTGGGAGAGTCACAGGGTTTTTATCCATTGACAGAACAAGGATGTGTTTTTATATTTGTCTCTCTTTTTTTTTAAACCAGTTTAACAAGTGCCATGTGCAATGAAGTTTCATGTTTGTCAAAGAAGTTTTCCGATTCTTTAACAGCAGCTGGGGTAAGATAACAGCATTTTCTGTAGCATTTGGGCTTTTTTAAACATAGTTCACTTCTTAAAACAGAAATTATTACCTGAGTCCAGTGACTTTACATGAGGTGCTAGCAAACAGGGCACTTCTTTCCTCAGATCAATAACACAGAGTATTTTTATGGCAGAATCCCTGTTGCAGAGAAAGTTTATAAGCCTTGATAGGCTGCGCTGCATCCTCTGCCTTCTAAAATCTGTCTTTCTAGATACCATTTTCCATTTTTCCTGAACACCACTCAGCACGTCTTGTCTTCCTGTACTGAAGGGTCCCCACATTTGAAGTCCGACAACTTGATTATTTTCTTCGCCTATCCCTTTTGAATGTATTTGTCTAAAAGTCATTAACAGATAACACTTCCAGTACTTTAAGATGGTTTTACTAGCTGTCTTCTTAGTCTTTGCTAAATCCCCTGTCCTAGGGCCACTGTGTTTTCAAAAGGTTTAAGAGGTTATAAAATCTGTCTGGTTGTCCATCTTATATCTCAAGATATTCCATTTAGGAACATCCATTTATCTGTGAACCTCTTTGCCTGAAATAGTGTCCTGCCTTTCAAGATGTTTCAAAGGTGACTGACATCTGAGTTTTCTAGGAGGATCCAGAGGCAAAAATTGTGCTGTTGCTAAAATTTTTCTGGAAACATCAGAGAAGAAACTCTGTCTCTCCTGATTATTCTATGAAAGTGTGAATGTGCATCAGCGGAAATTTTCCCAGTTCTCCCATGAGCTCTTCGAGCACACCTTTGAGCAATTTTTTTCAGAGTTGTTTATAGAGAACATGATTTTATTGTGTTGCTTTGATTCTGAATAATTTACATTCCTTCTCATTATTCTGGGGGAAACTGCTTATTTTCCATTATGGAATTGTATTTTATCATAGAATCATTGAATGGTTTGGGTTGGAAGCGACCTTAGAGATCATCTAGTTCCACCCCCCATGCCATGGGCATGGACACCTCCCACTAGCCCAGGTTGCTCAAAGCCTCATCCAGCCTGGCCTTGAACACCTCCAGGGATGGGGCATCCACAGCTTCTCTGGGCAACCTGTTCCAGTGTCTCACCACCCTCACAGTAATTTTTTTTTCACAATATCTAATCTAAATCTACTCTCTTTCAGCTTAAAACTGTTACCCCTCGTCCTATCACTGCACTCTCTGATGAAGAGTGTCTCCCCATCTGTCCTGTAGGCCCCCTTTAAGTACTGGAAGGCATTTGTGTGGACACATAAGAACTTGACCACAAAGACACTTCCCACTGCCAAAATACTCTCTAGAAGAGAGTTTTAGGAGGGCAGTCTGGCTGATCTTTAAGTGCTGTGCCATCCCTGTAAGCTTTTGCAGAAGAATGTGTGACTTTTGCTTACCATGATCAGTAGGAAAGTAAGGAGCACCTGTCACACAGGACTGTTGAAAATCTACATCTTCCTGCATGTCCCAGTGGTTCAACTTCCTCCTTAATCTGCCAACAGCATCTGGGTTCATAAAGACATCCAGTGTCCTGTAAAGTGAATTAACTTGTGGGAAACTGAGAAATGGCTTAGAACAGAAAATACTTTTTTTTTTTTTTAATGTAATGCCATCCCTACAGTTATATCTGTGTAAGTCAGACATTCGTTGTAGTGCTGGCTATACCCATAATGTCAGCAATGTTTCTGAGTGAGCAGTAATGCAGAAGTAAGAAATAACAGCTTTACTTGCTGTGCAAGATTTCTTTCAAACTTGTAACTTATTGATTCATATAATCAATAGTATTTAATTGATACTGCTCTCTGTTTCAGTTTATTGACAATCAGCTAAACAGTGGACTTCGTAATGTATTTTCTAGTAACTGACAGTCAAATTGTTCTTTTCTCTAGCCACCTTCCCTTTGTTCTGCCATCTCTCTCCAAACTAAAATTAAGGTGGTTCATGTTTCTTTAAATCTGCCATATGAAAGCTACATGGTTGAAGTAGAAATCCATCAGTTATATTAATCAGTATTGTGTTTCGTGTGTACTGATAAAGTCCATCATTCAGTATTGAAAGCAACTCTTGCTGGAGGTTGCTGTCATTCTAAAAAAAACACAATGCAAAGAACAGTGAGAATAAAAAAAGGAAAGAACCTTTGCCATTTTAAAAAGCAGAAGACATGACACATCTTGGCTTTCTAGCCACTAGTAGTGTCACTACTCATTGTACCCATCATTATTCCTATGTGGTGGATGAGAAAAATGCTGTGCATGCTGAGCTATATTAACTGGCCAGCCTGTGTTGTCTAGCTCCAGTTTGGGCATCTGAGTTTCACCTGTTTTTCCTTCTGTAGGGGAGCTAATCTGGGCCTTTCATTTCATCCTAACCACAGATATTTGTGAAACTTCTAAGAACTTCATTTTCCTTCTGACCTGTATTTTTCTTTCTTATTTCCTTGAAAATGAGCAACGGGTTAAAAAATTTTGTAGGAGATGAAAAGGGCACCGACAGACAGGTGGACAGACAATGTCATCACATAAATCTCACATCCAGGGCAAACCAGGCAATTTGAAACTCTGTAATACATAAACTGATGAAAAAGTAAAACCCTGGGCCTGTATTAGTTCATTGTACTCAGTGATAGAAATGCGTAGGGTCTACTGAAGTGTGTGTGAAGGGTAGACACAGTTATCAGGAGTATTGTGATAAACAGCCCGAGTAAGAATCAAGGTGAAGCAAGACCTTTATAGAATTCATAAAACTACTTCTCAGGTATCAATATGTTTCTGTTAAATGTATTTCTTCTCCTGGTGTTTCATTCTATTTTCCGGTTTACAGAGCAGTATGAAGGCAGAAGTTCTTAAACCCATCATCGACAGTGTGCTGTTAGAGGTGAGCCTTCACTTTTTTCACATTAGGAAATGTTCTAGTAAAATTATTTTGAAATGAAACAGTCACATTTATGTCTGCAGAAAGAACTATATAAAAAGTAACGACAATATAATTCTGGCTGTTCAGTGCCCGCTCATAAACCTCTCGTTTTTGTGTTCAGCCTCTCCCACAAATACTATAATGGTAATATTGCATTTACTGAGGATTCTTAATAACTGTATGACTGAAGTGAGACTGGCCAGCTCTTAAATTCTGCTGCTGTATTGGCTAGAGTACAGGAGATAATTTGTAATGTGCTGTTTAACCATTTTCTAACCCATTCATAAATTGCCTGGGATAAGTCTATTCTTACTGTTCCATCACCTACTTCAAATATTGCAAAGTATTTGTGATACACAGATAGTTTCAGACTATTCTGTTCTTTAAAATTTCAGTTTCAGGTATGCTACAGTCCTTCCCATCTATACGCATTTAGATTTCTACAGCGGTTCACAGTCTAGCACCAGGCTTGGTCAGCACATGCATAACCACGTGTCAGATGTCACCAAAATGTTAATGAGTGATTTCTTTTATTAGACACTTTGACCTATGAGTGACCTCTTCTATTAGGCACCATGAGCTATTTTTCTTCAGAAAAGCATAGTGAGTAAAATGTGCCTCAGTTTTACGGAGAAGAGAGATGAAGGGGGAGGAATATGCTCATAAAGTACTACAGTGTGTACTATCTGCAGCATGAATTTTTTTTAACTCTGCTAATTAGATCACACTTCTCTTCAAATATAAATAAACGTATAGTAGTGACTACAAATAACAGTTGCATTCCCTTTAAAATGAGGAAAAGATTGTTTTACAAAAAGGAATTTTGCACTGAATTAACAATACCTTTAAGGAAAATCATAGAAAGCTGAATAGAGCTGTGGTAAAGATTACATTTCCATTTGTTATAGGGTAAATTTCCTGTTGCAGCTGACATATCTTTCTGTGCCCCAGGAACTGCAAAATCTGGGAATGTTCAGAATTATGGAATATAATGTTTTGTTCTTCTTACATCCCATATATGTATACAAATATGTATTAGTACAGCCTAGGTTCATGGAGAATTACAGGCTGCTATCCTGTTCAGTATTAGAAATTCCAATAATAGTACTACATGTTAAAACCGTTACAGTAATTCAAACTGTTAATTTCAGTGACACTTCTTCCACCTACAGCAAATTCAGAATTAGTTCTGTTGACAGAGAGTCTAGCTGGTTTGTATTTAAAAAGTCAAATCTACTTCTGAACACAGTGGCATTTCATGTACTCACATTACAAACAAAACTGTCCAAGAGTTCAAACTGAGCAGAAAACAGATTTTTATATAGTGATTCAGGCTGTCCTTGTTAGCTGTAAACTGTTGTAATTTACCATTTTTGTTATGTACAGGTTCTAAAATCTCGTGTGAATACTTATGCTAATATAGCATGATGCAGATGTTAAAAAAAAAAATGTTTATTTAAAAAGTCCAATGTAATTCCCGAAATACATGGCAACTGTACTGATGAACCACGTGTTTTCTCTCCCTATTAGGGTTGCAACAGTACTACTTATATTCAGGATGCTTTCCAGCTGTTGCTTCCAGTTCTGCAAATTTCACATATCCAGACCAGTTGTTTGAAAGCACAAGAGTGAGAGTTTCCCAGCAGTTGTTGCCACGGGGCTTAACAGAAACCACAGACCTAATGTCTTCAATGTTTGCCGGTAGAGGAAATGGTATGGGAGATGTCTGGCCACTTAGAGACCTTTGAAGACACTAAACGCGGTTTTGCACATACAATATTGAACAGCATTTTGAAACTCTTTCAGACTTTTAGACTTTAGAAGTAGTTAGTGAAATGAGTAATTTCTTTTCCATTAGAGTATATCCTTTATATTAATTTAAACTGAAGTTTATTAATATTAGCATTGACTTAAATACGGATTCAAAATCTTGACCCTTTCAGTTGTAAGCGATGTATAAAGCAAATGAGAATGTAAAGTTTTTTAAAACATTTCAGCCCAAATGACGATTTCCCTTGTTTGCATTTTAGCTGTCAGTTAAAAAGGTATATTTCAAAAGTTGGTTTCAGTATTTAATTTTGGCCAATGTGAACAAATTATCGTAGTGTTCTGCTTGTTAAATATTTTTGACAGTAGCAAATAATAACATCATAATAATCTGTACTGCTTATATAACACTTTGTGTTGAAAGAATTTTACAGTAATAGGCATTAGTTTACTAAATTAAAATTGTGGAGAGTATGCATACAGAATTATATTCAAAAGAAATTTTCTGAGACAGTTAGAAATACAGGTAAAGCTCCATTTGCTGACCCATAGTTTTATAATCATTTATGTCTATTTCTTAACTCCAGAGACTGAACAACATTGCAGGCCAAAGTAATTTTTTCAATATGCAAGGAACAGAAAAGTTCCCTTTTGTTTGGCAGTTGAAACACCCCCAAAATAATCTCCTCTCACATGTGTCACCAGGTTAGCACTTAGGGGTTTACTTTGGGCTTTAAACATTATGAACCTTTTTATCAAATGGAGTTACTGACAATTCAGAAATACAGGTTTTGGGCATAGAAAGGAAGTTGTGAAAAGGAGTTACTAGAGAATTGCTTTGAGTAGGGAGGTTGTATGTCAGTGCAATCCCCTTTTCTCCGAGGCAGTAGCTAGACAGTGCATAAATGAGCAGCGGTGATTCATAATAACACTAGCAAACGTGGTAATTTATCCATATCCTGAGCTGTGAACCTCAGAATTTGTTCAGGCTAGTTTACCTCGTAGACAGGAAGAACCTTCCAATATTTTATGTAGCCTCTCTCCTGGATTTTTATGTTTATTATGTTTATTTAAGCTATTTTGTATTTTTTTCCTCTTGATAACACTCATGAATTGTATTTAAATGCTTTTTAATTGTAGTTAACAACTGAATATGTTTAATCATAGAAGCACAGCTCATACATTGTAAAATTAATGAAAGAGCATGAGGAAAATACTATCCTGTTTGTCAGAAATGAGAAACCATGTATCCGCTTTGCACATGGTAACTTTTTCGAGTCCAAATAAGAGAGGACAAAAAGGTCTGTTTGTGTCTTACGCTATTGTGGTCCCTTTTCTGCTGTCATGCACATTGTGATTTTTCCATCTATTTAGAGACAAAATTTTTGCTATCCCTGAAGTAAGATTTATTACACAGAATCTATTTTCTGTCATAATTTAACAGATTTGGGATGCCTTTTTGGGTAAGTAGAAGGAGTACAGTCTTCAAATCCAGTTGCACAGAATATAAAAAAAACCCAAACCTATAGCAATGTGAACAAAAAGAAGAAAGCCCCTTGGAAGCTGAAAAGGCAAACAGAGCTTGGCATTCATTGGTATTTATGCCATATTGAACAGCTAACAATACTACAACGTGGGAAAAAAGAGGGAAACGGGAAAATGTAACTGGTAAGCAGACCCACTAGCCCAAAGGCAGGATACAGCTGCCACCAACTGGTGCATCCATGACACTTCCATCTGGCATTGCTTTATTCCTGAAAGCGTCTTTGCAAAAGTGTATTACAAAGTAATGTTTAGTTGATGCAAAAACACTGCATCGTACCCAGTGCTTCTCTGGCTTCTACACTTTGGGGGGGAATAAACATGTTTTTCCCTACCAGGCTTCTCTGGCTACTGGAGGGGACACCCACTTGTGCTCACTTGACCAGAGGTCATTCTTGCATACACACTTTGACCCAGAAAAACGGCTCCTCAGTGCAGATTACCGAGGACCGCGTACTTGCTCCATACACTTCATCATGAGCGGTTTTCAGTATTAAAGATCAAGACATCAGTGAAAGCATTCAGTAGCTTGTAAAAAGGCCTAGTTGTTTGAAGTGGTTTTTTCTGTTGTTCTGTGCTGGCAAGCAGAATATAATACCTGCTTAAAACCTTGATTATTTTTCAAATGAAGACTGTCAAGAAAAGTCTAGTGTTTCCACCTATCAATCATTACTTCCTGGATTTTTCTTAACTTTAATTTCATCAAGAAGCCTTTCTGTCCACGCTGGAGTAGAGCTCTGCATCAGGTATCTGTAACCATGGTATTACTGCCAAATGACTCATAGAACATAGCAATGTCTGTTTCATATTGTTCCTATGCTGGGTTAATGTTTTGAGACATAAGTGATTTTAGTTGCTTTTTCATATGGATCTTTTTTTTTCTCTGAAATGTGGTGCAGAATATACAGTGTTAAAACTGTCAGAAAAATGTGTTGACTAATAGTGGTGCCTTTTAGCAGAGGCTGAACAGTATTAGAAGCCTCAGGGGATAATGTTTGAAATCGTTGAGTGGCATTCTTAAGACAAAGATTGCTTGTCTGAGATATTCCTTACTAGAAGTTTCAGTCTTGCTTAAATTATGTATGTATTGAATAGAGTACCTTTGCCTAAAGTAAAAGAAGCTATAAAAAATAATGTGTGGACTTAAAGTATTTGCATCCATACAGGGAAGGGAAATAGAGCAGAATATAAGCATAGGGATACTCCACCTGATCTCAGATGCAGTCATCTTGTCCTAGGAAGACTGAACGTTATATCTTTAAATCAATTTTACATAAATAATATTTCAGTAGAAAAGTACTATGTGGATGTAACCATAATATTTTTTTTACACTGGTTTGTATTTTTCCATCAATTGAATAAATCATTTGAGATACTGAACTTAGTATACTAAAAAGCATGTTTTGAAGAATAATGTCATGGGAGGGGGGTGCTCAGTGAAGTATTTCTGATTTTGTGATTTATCTTTGGAATGATGAATGTGATTTTTCTGAGAGTCTGACAAAAACAGACACTGCCATAAACTTTTAAGGGAGACTGTTCTCTTTCATCACCAGCTTTTTTCCAGTTCAGTTCACCGAGTGTGCCTCAGCACTTGTTGAACTACAAGGTTTTAAGTACTTATTTAAAAAATAACCTAGATTATTAAAATTACCTGTTCTCTTATTTTGGTTTTCATGACATTCTGCTCAGTTTTGAGCACACCTTTCTATGCAGAGACAAAGGAGGCAAGCTTTTGCACTAGGTTGGGAAGTTTATCAAGAGGAAACCTCAAGCAGTGTCTGTATACCTGCAGCCTTGCAGATGATCCACTATTACAGGTCATCAGTGAAGGATGAGCTAGAAGTAAACTATTAGCCAAGTCATTTGCTGTATTTGTTAATTAAAGATATTTGGGTTTTGGGGTTTTTTTCCCCTAGGCAAACAAAACAAAGCAAGCTGTAAGTTGTTTGCTGCTTTTCAGGGTAAAGTCTAATGTGTAAACATCTCTTCCCCATTATTTGCTCCTACACTTCAGCATCCGTTGCTTGAGAGAGCTAAACAAAAGAACTGTCTCTTCCGCTTTTTTCATGCTGCTCAGATCACCCACTGAAGCCGTTAATACCTTCCTCTGAAATGTGCCTCAATCATATAATAAAAAATCACAATCATTACAAGTTGAGATGCTTTTTAATGATGTTTCCAGTGGCATCCACCAGTCAGGATTCGTAACAACTACAAGGAGTCTGAAACACCACAGTGTTTTGAGTGACAAATACAGATTTTCACCTTTTTTCTGATTGATAAAAGTGTTTTTTATCATACAAGCAGTGAGCCAGCTCATAGGTGAAACAGCTTTGAAACATTCCACTTCTATTTCAAATGACAGCCCTGTCTCTTCTGTTAGTCTCAAAAAATGTAAGAGTGGAAAAGGACTTCCCTGAGTTCTTTTTAAAACTATCTTGGAGCAAGGCTTAATGTGACACCATGAGCCAGTCTGACCTGCTTTGAAATTCTTACAGTCTGACTGGAAAGCCCTCTGGACTCTAAACACTTTCTGTCTCAGGTCAACCTTTGTTGCTGAGAATATGAGGACATAGCTGCTTTTCATGCACAACCTGTACATTTTCCATGCTCTGACTCCTGCTTCAGCATTCATATTGACAATGGTGTGCAGTTTTAGAATTAAAAAAAAAGAAAAGAAAATGTCAAAAATGGAGTTGCATTAAAAAGATGGGAGAGGGAAAGTTATTTTCAAAGGACATAAAAGGATATGCTCTCTGGAAATAGGAACAATTTTCAAGGTTGGATTAGAGAAAAGGCTCTCAAAGAGTTTTTCTGCATTGTTCAGAATAAACAAGAGATGACACCTGATTAGTTCCAGCAGAACTGGAAAAACTGCACTTCCGAAGTAAAACGAAAATCTGCATTAATTTGAAGGAAGTAAGTCAAAGATAAGAACATTCAAAGAGGAAGAGCTCAAAGGAAAGAAGACAGCTAATTTGATCACTACAGATCTGCAGTGCTCATTCTCCCTTTATTGCCTGCACCCCAAAAGTCACTGAGCACACATCTGCTAAGAATTTATTATTCTCCCCACTTTGATCACCTTTTCACAGCTTTCCTTTATAGTCTTTCCAGGAGGTGCTCTAGTAGACTCAAAGCAGAGCACTAGCTATTCATTCTGCCTTTCAAACATCTTACCCAAGGAGTGGAAGAATATTTCTTACACAATCATGTGCAAAAGGAGTCTGAAAAAACTGCAGCAAGGACTAATCATAATTCTTAGTGAACTGAATTTGCTGCTGCTGTGAAAAGGAAGATGTGAAGACATTACTCAAACAAGTGTGTGCTATTTCTCTTCCGCACTGCAGGGTTGAGGCTGAAAGGCATTCCACAAAAGGTGCCAGTTCTGGAGTCTGATAGTGTCACCTAAATGAAAGCCAGAACACTGGGTAGTTCTAAAACTTTAAACACCTTCAGAAACCTCTCAAACCATTTACTAGACTTGTAAAACTGCAGTCGTACTCTTCTTGCCCTTGCTTATCTCAGACACTGTAACAGCAGCTTTCCTCCAGTTCCCTTACCAGTTCTGCCCCATGTCCATTTTGCACATTTCTGTGCACCTGTTCTGCCTTCCCTACCAGTTTTGTTCACTGCACTCTCCTCCACCTTCATGTCTCCTTCCCCCCACTGGTCCCTGAGGTTCTTCCCTCCTGCCCTTCATTGTGTGCTTGAGTGGCTGCACCAGTATATCCTTTGTCTCCTCACATGTTCAGTTTTGAAAAAACAGAGATGAAGACGGGGTTCAGAGGACATGGGAGAAGAGAAACCCAGAGGATCTCAGGAGAAAATGGGGAGACACTAAACCGCTTGCTTCTTAGCCCCTTCCTTCCTCCTCTAGTGTAAGGAGGTTGGACTAGAGACTATCTGAGGTGCTTTTCAACCTGAGTTACCTTAGGATCACTTTTTTTCTTACTATTCTGACAAATGTCTCCCCATTCTCCCACTGTTTCCTGTAGTTTGGATCATACTTGCAAGACCAGGTAAACTCTACTCAACAGAGATTAAAAGCTTATAGGAGCCTTTTGGGTTTATTTGTTTTTGGTGTTTTTAAAGGTAACTTGGAAGATGGAACCTTCCAGGGTAGTAAAACCACTTAGAGAGCTGTGGGATAACTGTGGGTAATAAAATAGGAAGTCACAGTTTAGCCATGCAAGGAAAAGGAGGAGGTTATAGACAGCAAGAATCATAGAATTAAATTATAGGAGAAAGGAAATGAAATTGGGGTCAGAAAGAGCAGGGCTGTCCCTATCAACAAGATCGCTGGATTACTGAAGGGGAAGAGTGATAGATAGTGCCATCATTTGAAGCATTTAAACACTGACTAAAATGGCCTTAGCAATTCTTCCGTGATTTGAGATAGATATGTCTATCTGTAAGTTGCTGTTCTATAGTAAGAAGAAAAAAAAAAAAAAAAAAAAAAAAAAAAAAAAAAAACCAAAACAGAAACAAATTGTGAGAGGTTTATTTTATACACTGTATTTAAAAAAAAAGCATTTCTGAAAAGCTTTAGGTTATTGCCACAGATAAGCAGTAAAGCCTCAAAAGCCCCCAAATCAAGAAAGTCGCTATTCTTCTCTGATTTTTAAAGATGGTAACAAACAGTAGAAACAAATGCTTCAGACTTATCCAACTAAATATAAAAAAATCCATATGGCCTCAAATCATTCAGAAGCTAATGTTCACAACTATTCCTATTAAATCTGAACTGCTTGGTGCAGTATAATGACTGAAGAAGCAATTTCAAAAAGCTTCAGGAGGGAAAAGCAATATAAATGTAAGGGATGGAGGTTATGAAGTATTAACATGATGCTAAATTGCTGCATATCATATTTGCAATGGGCAGTTTACAATCTGTTCATCCTGATGGATTTAGCACAAGGGAGTCTGAAGCCCTGGCTCTGCAATTTCTGTCTCTGCCTAGTAATTGATGGTTAAATGGTTCCTACAAATAATGTGTTAGTACCGAATGAGTTTGGGACCCTGCTCAGCCCCAACAGCTCCATTACTATAAATGGAAAGTAAGGAAAAGTTCCAGGAGATAATGAGTCTGAATACTAATTACCTAAGCTAGTACAAAAGAGAGAAATGCAATTTATCAAAAAGTATGAAACCCTTCTGGTGTCTTAATGAGTTATTAAAAAACAATAATAATGATTTTGTGGTTTGAAGACAAATTACCATTTTTCCACATTTTCTTTTCTTTATCCACTAAGATCTTGCAGAATTTATGAAGGTCTTCCTGGTTTACTGCAGAAATTAAAATGTAGAACTCTTTCCTTTTATGATCCTTCAGCCAGGAATTGTATTTTTAAAGCATCTTAGTCACCTAAAGCACTAAACAGGCTGAAAACTGTGCTTGTTTCATGAACATAGATGGTAGTTTCTATCTTTAAACAGTCTTTCTTATCGTATGGAGAATACAAAATAAATTCCTTCTCACACAGAAAATGAAATTATTGCAAGGATGATCTCATATCCATATGATTAAGTATAAATTCTGAATGAACTGAAAATAGATGTGAAATCTATACTCTTCTACTGAAGTTGATTCTACAGCAAAACATGTTTGTCCATCATTCATATTTTCTTAATACCAAATAATTCTGATGATAGATAAAATGGAGCTTCTCCACTAAAATGCATAGTTGGCATTCTCATGGGAAGATGGGTAGCAGAGCTCCACAAACTGGAAACGGAGATGCCTTCTTCTGTGGTGTGTGATGTGCCTTCTTTCATCCAGCAGTAATCATATTTCATGTGGCAACATCTGAAAATAAAGAAAACAATATCAGAAAATAGAGGAGGTTAAAAAAGCAGACTTTTCCAATTTATCTTAAATGTAATTTTTTGGACTTTCACAGTAATGAATTCTCCTCTTTATTGCAAAATAAAACAACAGTATTAAGAGGCAGACAAAATAGCAGATACATGTCAGATTGGAGCAACAGACCTACAAAGGGTACCTGCCAACAGGATGGTGTTTAGGTACCTGCCCCACGAACCAGAGTGAGAAGCACTGGACCTTATCTAGTGAAGCTTGGCAACCGAAGGGTGAGCAGAGCCCCAAGCTGCCTGGGAGAGCATTCACCACATCCACCAGGCTGAAGAGCGCCAGTAACGATGTACTTGAAGTGTCTCTGACTGGGTTCCTGCAGTGTCTCCATCTACACAGGGTTCAGTCTGGAACTCTTTTAAAGGTGGGTGGTGACTGATCTCTTTCCTTCATATAACTGAGCAGGCTTCACTCTCTTCTTCACTCTTGGCAGCTAGATGAGGGGAGGAGTGTTTTGTGTGATGTCTGCCTCCACTCCAGAATCTCTTGCTCTGTGTTAGCTCCTGGGCATCTCTTCATGCACTCCACCTTCAGCAGAGTGTTCAGAAGTAAATCCGGGGTATTAACAAGGTCTCTTGCAGCTGAGGCAAAATAAACTAGATTATCCTAATGGGTAAAAATAAAAATAGATCAAACCAAAACCACCAGCTGGATGGAAGAATTTGCAGACCTGTGCCCAACTGTGTTTCCTGTACCATACTTGTATACAGTAGGACAAATTTTGAAATAATGAAATAAGAGCAGCTTTTTCCACATCACTAAGTGAAAAATACTCCTCAGTAATCATCAATGAGATTTTTGAAATTTGGACTGCAGCTCGCAAAGTAGCACGTGATGAGGAACCTTGAAATATGAAAATGCCCAGTCAAGCTCATCTTTAGTTTTTAGGAAACTGTACAATGCTAGGGGTAAAAGCAATGGATTTCTATGCTTCTTATTCTTATATAGCTTGTCACCCATTCTTGTAGTTAATGTAGCTGCAGGCCCAATAACAACATCTGTCTCCCTTTTCCTTCATCGTAAGAACTGGGATAAGAAGTGTTTCTTTGGCTGTGAAATCGTACTGGAGGCAGCAGCTGCTGAAGTGAGCTAGAAGATGACAAGTGTAAGGAGGATACAACACATCAAAAATTGATGCCAGCTAATGTAACAGGGGGTTTAAACAGCCTGCACAGTGCCCATTACAGTCCAGTTCTGCAAGCAAGCAGGAGTGCTTCCCTTCAAAAACCTCCCAGTGCCTGCTTTGGAAAGAAACACATCCTGGCATGCGTTTTATGCAGAACCCAATAATTGTGCCAAGTACCCTGGAATGTGCTCAGCAATCTGATCCTGTGAGCTCTTTCATACTGAGAGGAGTTTTCATTTTAATGTATGATTAAGACTTGAATCTATTATGGAAGTAGAAACAGGAGGAATTATCTTTCATTATATTTAAAAACTAAATATGTAATTGAGTGACAGCATGTAGTCCTGAAAACAATTTAAAGCTGCCTATGGGCATACATATTTTTTTTATAGCTACCTGCAGGAATTCACGAAAGCATAAAAAATTATGTCTTAAAACAATGGCCAACTGGTAAACCCAGTATGTCAGTACCAGTAGGAACTTCGGATTTCAGCAGCATCACACACAATTTTATGATTACTTTAACCATAGTACTGTCACTTCTGAGTACTGAAATTATGCTTTTCAGAAAAAATGTCAAAAGGATAATTGGAAGGATCCCACCAATTTCAAATCACACCTACTGTTCCTTACAAATACGTCCATGATTTATAAGAACAGCTTAACTGTAATCTTCCTCTGGCTCCAGAGTACACTTGGTATGTGCCTTTGCTAGAATGTTTTGAACTACAAGTTTCACTGTTTCCCCTGCATAATTTGTATCTTCTGTTGTGTGTGTGGGTGTCTTGCTCAAAGACAGCTGAGACGGGAATTCTTTTAAATATGAAAACATTTTTGGAAAGCCACAATCACATCAAGAAAAGCAGGCAAAGAATATTTTTAGTTCCCTTTCCGTTTGTGCTACTAAGTTCTGCAATGATGGCATTTAAAGACTTCTTCAGGAAGGCAGCAAGGGCCTGAGCCAAAGCCCAGGTGGTAACACCGTAGGTGGACTGCATTGAATTTTCCTGGTATTAGACTGGACTCTGCACAATTAAATTTCTAAATTGCCAGGGGAGGGGATCCTTAGAAAATGACAGCAGTGATGATACTGTGAATGTAGCTGGATAGCCTTTCATACACTTAGTTACTTACTGATCTCTTGTGCCAGCCACCCCACAAGGTATGGTTTCATGTCCATGTGCTTTTAGATTGTAAGAGAGGAAAGGGACCCATCAATTTATTTTATTTTATAATTTCTGTTAAAGAGGTTTTCACATTTTTAGCCATACACATGCTTCCCCTGTGCATCCTCCCTGTTAGTTACCTGTCATCTACCTTATGTTCCCATTTTACAACCCATTTCACCTGAAGATAAGATTGTGCCTTAAATTCTATATTCACTGGGAGACCTACTTGTCTTATCTAACTATACAGCTACACTGTCACTCAGAAAGAAATACAGAGGTGTTGTGCTGGTTTTGTCTGGGATAGAGTTAATTTTCTTCAAAGTAGCTAGTATGGGGCTGTGTTCTGGATTTGTGCTGGAAACAGTGTTGATAACACAGGGGTGTTTTAGTTACTGCTGAGCAGTGCTCACACAGAGGCAAGGCCTTTTCTGCTCCTCACCCCACCAGCGAGTAGGCTGGGGGTGCACAAGAAGCTGGGAGGGGACACAGCTGGGACAGCTGGGAGATATTCCATACCATATGACTTTCTTCTCAGTGTATAAAGCTGGGGGAAGAAGAAGGAACGGGGGCACATTAGGAGTGATGGCGTTTGTCTTCTCAAGTAACAGTTACACATGATGGAGCCCTGCTTTCCTGATGAGCCTGCTGATGGGACATGGTGAATTAATTCCTTGCTTTGCTTTGCTTATGTGCATGGCTTTTGCTTTCCCTATTGAACTGTCATTATTGCAACCCACGCGTTTTCTCACATTTACTCTTCCAATTCTGTCCCCATCCCACTGAGGGGGGAGTGAGCAAGCAGCTGTGTGGTGCTTATGCTGGCTGGGGTTCAGCCACAACAGACATGAAGCACCTTACGTGTTCAAGGATCTCAAAGCTCTCTAAAAAGAGAGATGGAAGTGCTGATGGCAAAAGGCAGCGTACTAAAAATTGTCATCAATTGCTGATGTGGAACTTTCATTAACTTTTATGCAGCCTTTGACGTGTTCACTGGTTCTATCAAGAGAATTAATGGGAGGCAGGATACTAATATTGTTTCATCTTGTCCTTGGAGCATTGACTGTCAAAGAGACTGATGCAGTAAATAAAGTGTTTGGGGTAGGGGTAGTAGTGACCAATTTATGTGAATTTGATCTAACAACAGCTCAGAGCATGACTCCACAACAGCTGGCTTTAAGACACTGAGATTTCCTTCTTTCTTTCCTCATAAAATGGCAGCACTTCATCCAGGAACTGTCATTTCTGTATCTGTCTCTAATTTCCCCAAATTGCCATTGAATCAAGTACATTCACAAATGTCCTCTTATGGTTTCACATGCTGCATTTTTTTTAAGTAAAGGGAGCTAGTAGCCTATCTTCAATATATAAATTCTGTATTTATCCTTCTGGTCTGTTCTCCCAGATTTCTTGCTATCAGTCCAGCTTCTTGTTTCTGTCTTTTCATCTGTCACAGAAGAGAGTATTCACTAAAAAAACCAACCAACCAACCAACCAACCAAACAAACAAACCAAAAAAAAACCAACCAAAAAGCGCAGACCGAGATATACATCCCACAGCATTTTAGAGCTGCTAAAAATAATAGTTGGTGCAAGTAGTGCTTTTAAAGTTAAAAATACCAGTTGATGCAAGTAGTGCTTTGTAAGCTAAAAGCACTACACAATTTCTGTTTCAGCTGAGGATAAACAGTTATTACCATGGTGCAAATTAGTAATGAGGTGTCATTAGCAGAGACAGAAAATTTGGGTCTCCAGAGCCTTATTCTAGCATGCTGTCCCCTGAACAGCATTGCCCCTGAATGCAAAAAAATGTTCGTGCTTCCTATCTAAATAAACAGCAGCTTTGAAATTTACAGTAATTAATGTCATCTTTTGACAGCACTAAGGAAATACATCTACAGCTGTCATATGTAAAGGGAGGACTGTCTTATAGCACTTCAGAGGCTTGGCTCATTAATTTTTTTCCAGGACATCTGCTAATAAGGTGTTTTAATGAAAGATGTCAGAAACAGAGAAGAATTCTTAACTTCAGCACTCAAATATCATAATAATAGTTACTGTGAAAATACACAGAGACATTAAGTGACCTATGCTGAAAAGATTCCCTTTTGGCAAAAGTACGAGTGCAGAAGTTGGTACATTTTTCTGCTAGCTGAATTAGCTGTCAGTGTCATAATAACTAATGAACAGTAAGTAATGGAGCATGTGCATGCATCTCTGTGCACACACACAAATACACACACATATAGATATATAGATGTACATACACATAGGATATAAGTATATTGATAAACATGACCATGCACATATTGTCTTATACATATATATATATAAAGACATTAAAAAGACATTTTAAAAAACATAAAAAGAAATAAAAAAGCAGAAAGTAGTGATGTGTGAAAGTAGCAATTGATTATTGATCTCTCTCCATCTGTTAACAAGACAAATACTTCCTTGTAGCAGATTGGAACAATGAGCAAATAACATGCCTTATACTTTGCTCTCCTGTCCAATCTGGATTTTGACTTACTAAATTCCTGTGGCTAAAAACAATGTTGTGTTGCCTTTCAGCTTTCAATGTGTTGGGTTAAGGGCCATTGCTGAGGCCATCAGCAGGTTCTCCAGCTCAGTAGCAATAATGACAGTGGTAAGAGTGAGCCTTGCTTTTCCATTTCCTCCTCCTTACACCTTCCACCCCCTGTTACACCTACCACACCTACTGTGCAGCTAGCCTCCTCACACAAAAATCAAATAAACTCTGTGCTGTCTCTGAGTACAGCTCCAGCCAGCTGGAAATGAGGCAAAGCATAACCCAAAAGTGGTTTGCCTCTCTTTCTCTTGCCCATTTGATGCAGGGCAGGCATTGAGGTAACTCTTACCAACTGGACTGAAGCCAAATCTGAAGGGCAGATGTAAGCACTATCCCCAGTGGAGCTCGCTCAGGTTTCTAGCTCAGGCCAGAACCCTTCTTTGTTTGAGGCTATTGTATTGATGGTCTGAAATGAAAGTGCTTCAGGGGAGCAACCGGTAGTGTGATACAAAGATGATGCCTTTTGATCAAGAAGCTCCTGGTACACACTTCTTATCTCCAACCCAACCCCTTCTTGGGAAAAAACAGGTTTTATCAAGCTGATGGAGTCTATAACTGTCTCTGTCAATTATGGGAATTTAATCATCTTGGTGTTTTTCATTTTCAGTACTTGGCTGTTCATGTGCAGCACTTCTAATGCAGCTAGCTCCTGCCTGTTGCACAAAGTAGGCTTTAGTAGCATTCTAGAGACTTTATAGAGACAACCACAGCACTCATGAGAAAAGTAGATCACAACCTGCTTCCACAGCCTAAGTAACCAAAAGGACTTGCAGCTAGCAAGCTTTCCTGTAACTGCAGTGTCATTAGCTACTGAGCCACCCACGAACACAAGTAATAATGAGTTGAATCTGACCTTATCAGATGAAGGGAGAAGTGTTTGTTTGCAGGAAGTGAAGAAAAACTAAAGCAGAAAGTGCTTTTATTATTTTCACAGAGTATCTGGCTTTGAAACAGTATTCCTTTGAGCAATGTTATTCAAAACTTAATGTGATAAAAGGCAAGATCTAGCTCTAAGTTCTTGCTTCTCCAGGCACAGCCTGTAATAATCTTTCCACACTGTCATGTAACATTACAATTTCATGTATTTGACAATTATCACATGTATCACAGAGAGTAAACGCTCTCACAGGAAACAATTAAGGTGGGCAGGTACGTGGCAGACAGGGATATGCGAAGATAAAGCTTTACTTGAGAGTTGACAGGTATCAGAAAAAGAAACGGTCCAGTACTGAAGTGGTTGGGAGTAGTCCTTGGAGAAAGGAAACAGCAGCCCCACAGAAAGGCTGGTGGGTCTCTGGGAAAGGCCCTTCTCACTCAGCAAAAGCTTGTGATGTCCAAATGGCAAACAGCTGAACTCAGATAATCTGAGAATCACTCTCATCTATGTCGCAGACTTCCCAAGTCATCTTATCCTTTCCTGCCTCCTGATACCTTCATTTTAGAACAGTAATAATGACAGCTTTCCACCTTTGTGAGTCCTCATAAGATCTATGGATGGGAATCACTTTAAAAGTGGTCAGTATTTTTAATTACTATAATACACTGTCCTGTAACACAGATAGACTCTTTCAAAAACCAAACAATAATGTATCTCAATTAATTTATTAGGGCAGTACTTCATCTTTTCTTATCAATGCTGTTCAAAATTTCTTCTTTAGCTCTGCTCTGAAAATACAATTTCATTGTTTATCGTTCCACATGAAGCACAAAAATCAAACTGCTCTTCAGTACATCAATTTTTTTTAACACATTAAAAAGATAGCATGACATGATATTGAGTGTTCAGTAAAACTCCATCCAATTTAAACAGATGTAAAGAAGGACCTTCTTAACCTTTTAACCTACAAAACTCACCATAAACTGTGATATAATCTGTGCAAGTAGCTATAACCCTGTCTATGCAATTGATATATTAGTCTGTATTACTTAATCAAGTAGCACGTGTTCTGTTTCTAGGCATTACAAGTATTGCCAGGAAGAGGTATCTCTTACTGCACATTTCTTTTCAGACTTGCTTCCTTACATCTGGATTTCCTGAAACAATTACTGGAGTACAAGGGCTGGAGAAAGTTAATCAGCAAACTATTTCAGACATGTGATTCTCTTCAGAAATCATTTGCAAATTGATTCTTTCCTCTGCCCTTGTCAGAAACAAATGTCAACATAATGGCGAAGTCCAGGACACAATATTCTACACTAGAAAAATAGCATCAGAATTTGCACTGAGGCCTTCAGGGACTCACACAGTTTAAAAGGCTAACACATTAGTTTATAGAGGACTCTTGGTAGCAGAAGGAAAATTGATTTTGTTTCCCCGCCACCTAGCTCTCACAAAACACATTTTCCAGTTTGTCATCTCATATACTTGGCTAGAAGAAGTAGTAATTTATTTTCAGCAGATATTGTGTACTATTAATTTGGAAAATATGAGGCAAAACAGAATAATCAGAGTTATAAGATATTTACTTACCTTCTCCAGTTGATGTACCCACATGACCATGGTCTTGTTCAGGAATTATGGGCAGTATCTTTGTGGTCTGTGCAGGAAGGGCAATCTGGTGTTTGCTGGTTTTCACTATTTAAAAGTTAAAGTAATTTTTATCCCTATTATTAAACAGCAAATACATCTGCAGAGTGTTAAACATTGAATTTGCAGGTTTGAAAATAATTGAGACTGAACACAAGGTAGAGGTGGACAGCCAGTGGGATTTCAGTGCCTAGAGATGCAGATACATGTCAGGAACTCTTGAAAGTACTAACCATGTTTTTATTTAACTTGTTCTTGATACTAGTGGGACTACAACATACTGATCCCTGGTCTCGCTGGGAAGCATCTCGAGGGTAGGCAACTAAAGTGCTGTTGGAAATTTTACTAGTAGTAAAAATAAAAAAGCATGCAAATTTTGGGTTATCTAAGTGTCTCCAAAAATTCAAAAGCGTACAGTTGGCCAGTTAAATGGAAACAACTGAAATCTAGACCGTGAACTTTCTGATTCAGTTTCACATAAGGGCCACCCAAATTGCCACTCAGGAACATGTGATGTGTCCTCAATTAACTCGTCATACACACAGGGAGAGCTACCGGGTATCATCCAGTTGTTAACAAAGATGACAACATGCACCTCAGAAGCAGGGAAAGGCGTGGTGATGCCTTTACAGACTGGCAACACATATACTGATATGATCTCTTACTGGGATAGAGACAAAGAAACACAGAAATAGCATTGTCAGGCTAATGACGTCAGAGTTGTGGATATAATGCATTTTCCAAAGAACTACAGTAGAACACAAATAATGTTTTAACTCCAGGTTCATCCTGTCCCCAGCCATAATTTCTGTAAACCTACAAATGGGTTTTCTATGGAGTTCATAACAAAAAGATGAAACGTGTCACTTACATGGAGCTACATCCCTCCTCCACTCACTGTATCATTTGAGCTTCTCTCTTTACAAATGCAATTAAAAAGTGAAGTTTCAATCTGGGTAATTAAGCAACTGAAAATGAAAAGCAAAGTTAAAATAAAACTAGGGTAATTTTAAAAATAGCAATGGATCTTGTTTCACACTCAGGATGAACCTGGAGAGAATGGGAATGTAGGCTGACTGTCCCTTCAGAGCCTCCGTGTAACACTGTTCCGCATGCACGCAGACTGAGCAGCGAAATGGCCCCCTGTGCATCAGTGCTCTACTGAAAACATACAGGGGCTATGAAAAGCTCCCTAAAATTACCTGCATCCTATAGATTTTATCCTCCTTTCTGAAACATAAAAAAAGACCCAAATTGCTAATAAGGCTTCACATTTTTCCCTGGAAATGTTGCATTTCAGGAACACGTAAGTCTGTGTTAAATATTGAATACTGTGACAAGATTTGCTTTTCCTAGCATCATTCATCTAAGCTGCAGAGGAAAAGACAATGATTCAGCTACGTCAGGAACTGAGAAGGATCAGAATCAAATAGGTGATGCTTCACTAGGCCAAGATTAAATAAATGTCTCCTTTCTTGGCTTTGCATCTATTTGCTGCCTGTCCTCTTTACTAAAAATAAAATGTATTGCAGAATACAAGGAGGAATGAGTCTGAATTCACTGGGATGCCAGCCCCGACGCTACTGAGCCAGCGTTCACTTCTATTTCCAACCTGTCAACTCACCTGAAGCTGTAGGGATACATTAGAGAGATGGCAGAATTTTGCCTGTTTCCTCTAAACTTGTAGGAGAGGAACTATTCTTTCAATAGGATAGCACAGAAAACAATAAAGGAATTCAAATGACTGACAAGAAATTTGTCTTGTTGTTTCTTCCGTGCAAATTACAGCTGTCAAGCCCACTTATATCAAATGCTTCGGATGTCACAAAATCTAAACAGTCCAGAAAACAGCTGCAGGCCAGAAACCTTCAGATTTTATTCTCTGCATCCTGTTTGTCACCATGATCCTACAATGTCCTTCTTTCAGGATGAGTTATAAAATTACCATCCATCAGAATTAATTTTGCAGTACTGTGAGCCAGACAAGTGACTTGAGGAATCCTGTATTTGTATCCTAAAATGTGATGAACCAAACTGTGACTCCATGAGCCAATGGAGTATCACTGAAAATGAGAGAAGTATGCCATTTGAGCAATGTAGAACAAGGCATTATATTTGAACTAATGTTGCCCACACAGACTGTAGAGTAATAACATGATGATATGAACAAAATCAGAGAATGGCTTGAGAGCAGCCCTGAGGAGAAGGACTTGAGGGTGTTGGTTGATGAAAAGAAAAACATGAGCCGGCAATGTGCGCTTGCAGCCCAGAAAGCCAACCGTGTCCTGGGCTGCATCAAAAGAAGCATGACCAGCAGGACGAGGGAGGTGATTCTGCTCCTCTGTTCTGCTCTTGTGAGACCCCACCTGGCGTACTGCATCCAGCTCTGGAGCTCCCAACATAAGAAGGACATGGACCCATTGGAGCAGGTCCAGAGGAAGGCACAAAGACGATCAGAGGGTTGGAGCACCTCCCCTATGAGGACAGGCTGAGAGAGTTGGGGTTGTTCAGCCTGGAGAAGAGAAGGCTCCGGGGAGACCTTATAGCAGCCTTCCAGTACCTGAAGGGGGCTACAGGAGAGATGGGGAGGCACTCCTTATCAGGGAGTGTAGTAAGAGGAGCAAAGGTTTTAAGCAGAAAGAGGGTGGATTTAGATTAGATATTAGGTAGAAATTTTTCACTGTGAGGGTGGTGAGGCACCGGAACAGGTTGCCCAGGGAAGCTGTGGATGCCCCATCCCTGGAGGTGTTCAAGACCAGTCTGGATGAGGCTTTGAGCAACCTACTCTAGTGGAAGGTGGCCCTGCCCATGGCAGGGGGTGTTGGAACTAGGTGATCTTGAAGGTCCTTTCCAACCCAAACCATTCTATGTTTCTGTTACAATATGAGTCCCTATCTGCACGATCCCATTCTAACATAGGAATGGGAAGAGACCTTTTTTTCACAGACCTTATGCTGCTTTCAAAATAGGATAAAAATAAACAAGGAATGTCATTCTTATGCTAGGAAAACGAGGTCTAAATGGGAATTTATAGTGGTAGACTTCCACTAACATAAATTTACACTTAAGTATAGCCGATATCGTTATATTAATGAAACTTCCAGTATGAAAGGTCCCTGATAGGCAGATTCAGTCTAGGTATTAAACACCCTGATTTACGCAGTTTGCTTCCTGTGCAACAACTTTTTTTTTTTTTTTTTTAATAATGTAGTGTACAGTTCACAAACACTGGACTGCTCCCAACAAGTAATTCTGTGCTGTGTCCCCAGGCTTATCTTTTTTTAGGATACAGCTATATGAGAATAGCTATACTTAATCAGTTACTAGTAGTGGAAAAGATTCTAAAGTGGTTTAGGGAAAGTGGGCTAAGGGAAAGGTAAAAGACCAGGGCAAGTATAACTGCCTTCCCTTTCTCTGGAACTGAGGCTGATTTAAGCAGTAAGCTGCTTGACAGCTCAGCAGTTTCTATCTGAGTTTTTTTAAAACACTGTGGGGAATACTGTCTAGTCCTTCTAATTGCTATTATTAATTTATTAAGTTGTTCCAAAACCTCTTCTACTGCCTCTTCAATTTGAGAAAGCTCCTCAAAGAAATTCTTGCAATAAAAGTCTCTTATGTGTGAATCTCCCTAAGATTCTCTGTCAGGAACACAAAGCAAGGAACTGACTTTTGCTCTACGAATTATTTTCCATGTGATACTACTATCAAGCACTATTTGATACAAAAATGCTCTGTGTCTGGAAATACAGATCAACCACTTGAAGAATACCTACTTGTTGCACTGAAGAAAAAGCACCCTGTACTCCTTCCCTTCTCTTGTGGCTGCATTTAAGGGCGACTGTGTTTCGTCAATTCATACGATTCAAGGGACTATTTTACATCATAACAGATCCAAAGTCTACAAAATACGCTCTGTACAGCCAATGCTCTAGTGCATACTTTGTTTGTCTTAACAGCACAGACAATATTTAGTCAACATTTATGTCCAGAATGGTTTGAAGCTCCCCTGTCCTCACTATATATGTGCTTAATCCTTTGTAGTACCATGAATTTGGAAGGCTGTAATTTTAATCCTACCCTCAAGAACATACTGTACATTTTTTCTCCTTTCGCCTGGTCACTAGACTTAATAGTAATGATTTATGGACAAGAGCCACTAACAGTTTCACAGAACTAGCATCCCTGCTGTAAATTCTCTTTTTGTAGGACCATGGTGATATTGGGACAGTAATTTTCTGAGTCTACCTAGGAAATAATTTTCATTCACAAAGTAAAAGTTTATTTTTCTTCCCTTATCCTTCCCGAACTTTGAATAACCTTTTAGTAGTACCTATACATCTTTTCATCTATATGAGATACTGTCACAATCCTCTCAGGTACATAGTTATTTAGTCTCATTACAGTATTTCCAGGGTGGTTGTATTGTCTTCAGTGGATCTCAATATTTTGTTTCAAGATTCCAAGATATGTACTAATGACAGTAAAAATATTATCAAGGGCTGTTGAAGAAGTCATCATAGCTATTTATAATCCATTATCACAGTAGCAAATCTTAAACTTAGCAACTGCGGAAAAAAATAAACTTTTCATATGGTCTTGATTCCACTTGAAATTATATTGGTATAAATTGGGAAATTGACTGGATTCCCTGGAATTATGGTGTGTGAAATCAAGGAATTTCATATTAAAATAAAACCCATTACAGCAGTTCATACAACTAAGCATCTTTCTGGGTTAAATGGATAGATTGAAGAGGGAGGAACACAGAAGTAAGAATGATAGACCAATATGGGATTCCTATTCTCTTCAGTAAAATCTAGTAAACTAGATTTGAATTTCCATAAAACTCCAAAGACAAAAGATGTCAGAAAGATAATTCCTCTCCTGCAGGATAAAAATAATGAGCTCATAAATATATCTTAGATGCAGCCAGTGCTTTATAAGCATGGAGCATAAATTGTACTCCCAGGAGAGTTCAGACAGACAGGGAGCTTTTTTTTTGGGTAAAACTGAAATGCCATGAGTTATTGAGTTGTAGAGAGAAATTATTGAATCTCCTCTTACTCCTAAAGAACCAACAAAACAAACAGGGAGGTACCCAAGCCCAGCCAAATTTAAAACAATTTTTTTTTCATTTGCTGGTTTTGTAGTTGTTCTTCATTTGGAGGGAGGATGGTTTGCCATTCAGAGCTATTATTCTGTATGTCCATGTTAATATTTTTAAAGATAGAGCTCCCTTCATGAAACCAGAATCCATGGAATTTAATACAAGAATATGACTCTTCCAGCAATATCAGTAACACTCAGAGCTACAGCTGCTAATTTCCCTTCATACAGAGATTTATTACCAAATCATAATTTCTGGAACCAAGGCTTTGAGTTTAGCCATGCCATTTAATTTATCTATGGTAAACATACTACATTCTCAGAAGACCACATTTTAGTTCTTATCTGAGACTAGAAAATCATACTTTGTAGGAGTTTTTCCCTAGAAATAGGCTACAAAGTGTCAGCAGAGTCATTCTCTGGGTCCTGCTACAGCCATCCATTCCATCCTTTGGTAGCAAATTTTGTCAAGAGCCATAAACAAATAGAGCATACATACATGTGTGTACATGTCTGTATACTTTTCATAGACAAAGCACTCAGCTGCCAAACCTCAAATGTGGCACACAACATGACCAAAAATTAAAAGGAGGTAAAAAAACCCAAAATCATTAATGCAACACATTTGGAAAACTGGGATAAGCATTCCCGCATGATATACATAAGTCTTCTTATAGTTTCATAATCAGAATTATCTATTTATGATATAAAAATGTTTCCATAACATAAGTGAGATCACATTTGTGTAGGCTCAAGGTAACTCTGAAACAAATCTGAAGCATCCTCTGACAGTAAAGACTCAAAAGGTCTTTCTTGACCTCCTCATGCCTCAAGATTTGTTAGGCTTTTATTTTACTTTTGCATTACTTACCAGGAAAAGGATGAATTTTAGTAGCAGATATGGTCCTTCTTGCATGTCTAGAACTCTTTCTTCTTAGAATAGCAGAAACTGCCGTTTCTCTGTGTTTACAATCTGTTTTAAACAAAATGTGTTAACCTCAACTATAGAACTACACACGGCACTGATTAGACGGAAGGCTGGTAAACACCTTATTCTTAAGCTGTTAAAATACCTTCCATGAAAAAACAGGAAGGTTTGAAATAAGGTGATGAGGAAAACCTAGGGCTAGTGTTTTATATTTTCCTGAATTAAATTTTCTGCAAATTCTGTTCAGGTTTGCCCCTTTCAAATTATTCATTCCCTCGTCTATACTGTATACCCTGAAAAAAAATTGGAAGGCTATCAAAGAAGTACACCTTCTAGTACAGGTTCAGTCTCACACTGCTGACAGTGGAATAGCAAGGATGGAGTGCACTAGCATCTCACGAAACTGACAGATTCTTTGCAAGTGTGACATGTTAATCCTTGGAAGCACAGTTTGAGAACAAGCTCTACATCACTCATAGAGAGAAAGATAGAGCTGGGTTGAACACCTCTGACTCCTCAGTCTTTCCATCCTTCTGCTGCTCTCTTAATACTGAACTCTTAGGTGGGGTTACTGCAGTTGGTTGTGCAGCTGTTACAGTTAGCCCTGTTCTACAACGACAACAGTTCAGGGCTCAGACAGCTTCTGATGACAGGCTTGCTCCAATTCTGCATAAGAGAACTGATTTTTAGCTTTTTCTTTTGATAACACTAGAAAACTTTGTCTTCAAGAAGTTCACTAAATTAGCATTATTTAGGTCATAATTTTTTTATGAATAGCCAGCACAGATCTAACGCGCTGAAGCCCTAAGCGTGCACTGGAGGCCGAAGCATGCACTGTAATAGTTAATGTCAAAGGAAGCTCTGGAAGTCGTTGTAAGACAAGAGTGGAAGGGAAAAGGCGAAAGGACTAATTTCTAATTTAGCTCCTGTGTCATGGATTGGTACTGACCTCCACCAAGTTTATTTTGATATTTTATTTTATGCACTCATGGAAATAACTTCATTAATGTTTCAGAGGTTCTCAAAGTCTGCCTAGCAGAATGTCTTGGAAGGTCTCAAGAGGACATGAATAATTCTATATGTCTTAACAGCTTTCAGTAGTGCTCAGAAATTAAGAGAAAAACTATTAACTGAAGAATGACTGTAAAAATTCTTAGCGGCTGTTTTAGGCACATAGTAATATTCTGCTGTGTTTCTCGGGCAGCACTGTAAAAGGCAGTATGTAGACTTGCAATTAAAGGTGGCATCATACCCATAAGGCATACAACCCTTAAATTTGATTTTTATGCGCATGTCTTTTTGTCAGTAACATATTGATGTTGTTAATAATGTTATATATTGTAAACTTAACTAATAAAAACACTATTCCTCTATTAACAGAAAATCTTTTCCTCCCTGCTTGTGTCCACAATTCTGAAAAACCTGTATTTAATAGAAATATTATGTTTAAGAATAAAGGCAGTAAATCATTAATAATCACTACTAATAGTCTGCATTAAAAATGGAATGTTATGACTCTATAAAGCATAGAGAATCATACTCATGACACTTATAGGTAGCTTTGAAATTAAAAATAAAATTCCTTTAAATTAAAGCATTTAATAGCCCCCTTATAAAGAGCTAATTTATATTTTATGGGATTTTTATATACATAAAATAGCTCTCAGAATTTGGGTCTAGCAGTAAGTAAAAGATCATGTATTTTAACCAAGATAATCTCGTAAAGAGTTCCTCTAATCATTGAGGGGGGTTGCCATTTTAAGCAAATATTTTGCTTATTCATTAAAAATATACGCATAAAATATTTACATTATGCAAAAAAAATCACAGAAACATTTTGTGTGTGGGCACTCTCCCTTCTGTTCAGTTATGATTAAAGCTAGACTCCTGTTGCTCTCTTGTTACAAAACCGCCTGTGGATACAGTAAGGATAATCAGGGGAAAGGATATAGCTCATCATTTTTTATTACCCCTGTGACCAAGGTCTCCACTCAGCAGCTCTGGACTACAAAGAGAATGCACATCTGCCTGGTAGTAGCAACCGAATACTGGCTGTCCAGAGGCATTCTGCCAGGGCTGACACTGGCTGAAAGTCTCAGGAAATTGCTGTGAAAAGCATCTAAGAGCTATAATCTCAGCTAACAGGTTAAGTAACACTCTTTTCACACTGATGAGAGGGAGTGTGCTCCCTGTACCACCTACCTCTGACTCGGGATGAAAAACAAAGACCAGCAGCTGACAGATGGTCAATTTTCTGCATTGTTTTTGTGCAGAGAACTTTATCTTGATTGCTCAAAAGTATCCTGCTCAGGTTACTCCTAGACTTTTATTCTTGCTCTCTTCATTGTATATTGCTAGAAGAAATACTGTAAATCCCAATTTCAGCCTGTATCCCAAGTGAATTGCATAGGAAGAGCCTGTCTTGGCTGGTAAAGGCATTCTGTAGAAACAATTGTTTCAGTCTCTGAACTAAAGACAAGTTATTTCATAGCAAGGTTTTAATCACTTGGAATAGTCAATAGTGCTGATTCAGAAATCACAACGCTATTTTCTTTGCTGAAATAACAGCAAAGAGAAGAAATGTTATCTGGGCTTAATTCAGCTCTGGGGTTAAGAAGGCACAGCTTGGTTGCCCTGTATAGGATTATACCACCGCTGAATTTAGATAACCAGTTTTTAGGGCAAACAATGGAGTGCATATCTCCTCATATTCATCCTGTAATTTTTCTTGACCATGACCTAGATGAATCATCTTCAGGAATGAAAGGGTATTTCAGTCTGCTTATACTGGTGATTGGTATTTCTGCTTAAGATCTTCAACAAGGTGCAACTGTAATTGTTTTATCTACTGGAATCAGTCTGAAAACAGAAGTTCATATCACTAAGGATCATAGGCCACCAAGCATCTGTCAAAAAAAAAACTTATTTCTTTCACCAGCAACAAGCTTGGATTTGCATCCACAAGTCAGAGGTGAGAGGTGATAGTATCAATCATCTGAGTATTTCAGTCCCTCTGAAAGAAGCTTTTACCATATTACTATTAAAATATTGGTGTCTGAACTACATTAATATCAACAACTTTGTTATTGTAAATTAATATATTTTTCATTGCATAGAAATTTAAATTCATGCCGATTAACTTTTTGTTACTTACAGTGGTGTTCATTCTCTTGGACTATTTTGTAGATGACGATTGAGATAGTAAACAGAAAAACTACTGAAATCAGAGTAAGCCAAATGATCTTCATCATACACATTGGATCTGTCCATAAAATGTAGAAGAGAGAAAATGAAGCAGGAAATCATTGTCAGAAAAAAAGCTGAACAACCTATCTTGGTCGGTTTTTGGAATATGCCTATCCCCACAGATGAAAATTTAAAGCAAAAGATAAGATTATGCCTTTTCCTTTCAGCCTTCTTTGTTGTTAGAAATTAAGTTTCCTATCTAGAATTTAGGTTCATTTTCACCAGTATCTGTCTCCTCATGTCTGAAATAGTTATATGTAGCTAAGCAAATTAAAACTTTTCCTATTTGTATAAAGTGTTATATGCAACTCATCCAGGAAGAAAATATTTCAAACATTAACATTTATATTTAAGGTAGAACAAGGGTAATATATATCCCATCTTTGTTTGGATGGAACACAGAAGGAACTGGTCCACTGGCCAACACTGGCATTCTCAACCTCTGGGTCTATCTTCATACACAGGAGAAGGTAATATTCTACACATACAAATTTTCTTATCAAAAAGTGAGGAAAAGCCACCAACAGGACCCCTCTGAAAAGTTCTTTTAACCAAAGGGGCCTTCGGGGATAATCAGTGTGGGACTGAGTGCTCTTTCAGACAACAGCTGCTGCAGAAATGCACCCGCATTCTGCAAGGAATTAGTTCAGTAACTAGTACAAGCCAGAACTATATACCACAGAGAAAGAACGTGGGGAACTTTCCTCTCTGGTTGTTTGAAAGACCTTTCGAACTTCTTTGGTAGCTGTATGTTAATGCATACCTTAGCATTGTCAAATAACTATTTTAAAAACCAACTATGCTACTATGACTCATACAAAATCAAATTACAGACTATAGCCAACCACTGTTTTCCTTTCCTTGACTTTAAATAGCATAATTAAACCTACATCAACTTCCCTTGGGTATCTTCTCCATTGAGAAGTCATGAGGTAACTGCCAGTAACCCCATGGCTCTTTGAGGTAAGCACAGCTCATCCCTTCTAAATAAAAAAATAACAAAAAATAACTTCAGTACAGTCATTTAGGCTCCTTTCAAAGAGTACTCTACCCCATCCTGTAGTACCTTGTAATGACTTGAATATCAGCCTTGCCTAATCAAAGCCCTGAGGACCTCTCTAGCTTTGTTTTGAAGTAAACAGAAAAAAGGCATTGGTAATTTCTATTGTTAATTTGAGATAACTACTTCCACCATTAGTAAAGGGTGGTTAGCTCATAGTTATGACACAAATTCGCAGGGCAAGTTAAACACTACACTCTTCTCATAGCTAGACCTATTTATTAAAAAAAAAATTAAGCTGCCCTCTGTTCTCTACGATTTTACCTGGACTTATTTAACATAAGTTTAGCTAACTTCAAAACATGTAATTTTTCCAACAAAGGTACAGCATAAAATGCATTTGCCATACAAAACTAAATAAATGTAATAATTCAGCAATTCCCAGATGGCAAGCATTGCTTATAGATAGGCCGGAAGCCCTGACCATGGTCAGGCAATCAGACAAAAAAACTGCTGCAGCACAAAGAGAAATTTAAAAAGCTGACAGGCTGTCCTCTGGGAAAACTAAGCCTAGCTCAGATGAAGATTTCTCTTTTAAGTGTACTGTAATAAAGCCATATAGTAGGATATTGCAGTACAACATTAAGAAAAGTCAAACCTGTCTCCTGGTTCTTCTGCCACTTAAGATAATAGGAATTTTTAAATTTACCTCGAAGACAACAGGGTTATGCCATTATCAGGGAGGGGAGAGAAAAAAGTAATTCCAGGTTTTGTCATACATGCAGTTTGTGAGTCTGTCACCGCTAAGCAAAAAAAAAATGTACAGATACTTTGCGGTGTTGCTTCAAAGAAAAACATCACCCAGCAATGTGCACTTGCAGCCCAGAAAGCCAACCATATCCTGGACTGCATCAAAAGCATCCTGACCAGCAGGTTGAGGGAGGTGATTCTCCCCCTCTACTCCACTCTTATGAGACCCTTCCTGGATTACTGCGTCCAGCTCTGGAGTCCTCTGCACAGGAAGGACATGGACCTTTTAGAGGGAGTCCAGAGGAGGGCCACGAAGACGATTAGAGAGCTGGAACACCTCTCACATGAGGACAGGCTGAGAGAGTTGGGCTGGTTCAGCCTGGAGAAGAGAAGGCTCCAGAGGGACCTTATAGTGGCCTTTCAGTACTTCAAGGGGGCCTACAGGAGAGATGGGGAAACACTCTTTATCAGGGAGTGTAGTGATAGGATGAAGGGGAATGGTTTTAAGCTGAAAGGGGGTAAATTTAGATTAGATATTAGGAATAAATTTTTCACTGTGAGGGTGGTGAGGCACTGGAACAGGTTGCCCAGGGAAGCTGTGGATGCCCCATCCCTGGAGGTGTTCAAGGCCAGGCTGGATGAGGCTTTGAGCAACCTGGTCTAGTGGAGGGGGTCCCTGTTCATAGCAGGGGGGTGGGAACTAGGTGATCTTTAAGGCTCCTTCCAACCCAAACCATTCCAGGATTATATGAAAAAAAGCGCCACAGCTACACCTCCTTTAAATCACTATAAAAACAGTCCAATGCCTTCTAAAGATGGCCTTTTGCTAAGGGATTACCAAAATTGTATTCTTTTCTTGTGAAATACTTAAATATTTTAAATTGGTTGCTGAAAGCAGAGAAATAGCTACTGGAAATTATTTGCAAGATTCATGTTGTTTCTGGTTTGATTTCTGTTGTAACTTAACTCTCCTTTGTAACTTACATTCCACGTAAGACTTCAGATGCAGTGAAATATTTATACAGTCACTTTGGTCTTCCATCATTGCCACTAGACATGAATGATTTAGATATTCTTCGGCTGCAGTTCTTCCTCTGACCATAGAATTGTTGATGTGAATTTCCAGAATGTAGTAAGTATTATGCTCTACTTCTTCCTTCTTGGAAACCGTAGTGAAATTAAAATATTTAGAAAAATAGAGAACATCTTCTGTTTTCACTTCAAGCGAGACTTTCTCTTTTGGAACTAAAAATTAAAACAAAACTGTTATATAATATGTGGTAGACAGAGACACTATTCTCAGAAGGAACAATAAAGTAATTTCTCTGTCTCATTTGCAAAAAACATACAGTAGGCTTTTACATTATTGACTATAATAAAATGGACAAAAGGATGCCATGTAAAATTATTCTGAATAGATCTGAAGAGTACTGATTATCTATACAAAATATAGTTCCCCTGCAAATTATAACCCCGTTTTTGCTTTACGACCAGCTTCAGAGCTTTTCATTTTTTTTTTGTTCTGTCATCTGTTCTCAAAGGTAACAGACAAAAATCAGGCTATGAAAAAAAACCCAAACAAGTAAACAACATATGACAAAAGACATTTGATGTGTGCATGTAGTCTATCTGCTATCAGTTGCAGAAGGTCCTTGTTTCACTTCAAGCCACACAAGCTGTGAGACTTGTACAACGTCGACAAGAACCATAGGTAGGTAAGACACTGTCAAAGTGTTAGAGTTGCACAGGTATAAGTGAAAACAGAGTTTGTGCACATATTTTCTGTTTAGTTATTTTCCATATCTGTTAAGCCAGCTATTTTGTAATAAGAAAATGATGCAGTTGGAACTATATTTCTTATATTTAGGAGCTGGCCTGTTGCCTCTGTCACTGGTTATGTTAGGAAAGCAAAACTGAGAAGTATTCTCTTCCCCAAAAGTTTCCAGATACTTTGCAAGTGTACATGGCACATCTGAAAAGATGTGGATGTTGTGAACTTTTCTCCATATTGCTAGGCCAGTCCTGCCTTCTATGAAACATTCTGGCCATTTCTGATACTACACAGTTGTGGACACCATAGATGATAAGCACAAAAATAGTTATTTCTTGAATTTCTTCAAATCAGTTCTTCAGATACTTGCTAACAACTTATATAATACCAGCACTCAACATGTAGAGTTCCACAATGACATTTAAAAGCAAATTTGGTGTTAAAACTGATCAGAAACTACAACTCTTTAAAAATAAATGAAATATTTTAGAAATTTTAGCAAGACCAAAAGAATAAAGAGGGTGACACAAAAGCATTCATAAAAGCCAGATGGCAGAGGTCAAATTTGCGACAGAAATTTTCCAGGTGGCTGTTGGATAAGGCACCCTTTTCTCAAGCATCCTCCTTGCAGACCAGTACAAAGCCCCCTAAGATAATGACAGTCCCACACACACATTTTTATACAAGATCCTCAAAGAAAATAAATCAGTGGTTTGCTACCTACACATTTCACTGACAGCCAACAATGAATGTCACTGAGAATCTGGCATAAAACCTGCATTTTCTAGTCATGCAAAGACAAGCTAAAAAAACCATTGTTCATAGTATTTGCAAAGACCAGAGAGAGACAGCTGCATATTATAATTTTCTTTTAACTACCAAATAAAAACATGTCTTTTATGTTGTAATTAACTACTTCAAAATTAAGCATTTCTCTTCCCCTACTTACTTTTTTTATCTACTGACCCTGATCCTTGATGATCAACATTCACATCTCTCTTGGATTCACACTCTGTGTGTTCACTATGGGATTGTTGTTCCCTCCTGGAGGACTGGCACATGCAAGGAATATTTTGGAAATTGGAATTATTTACAGTGGCCTTCAGTAAAATAATCTGGTTTTCTCTTCTTTGTTGCACTGATCTTTTGCAAGAATTGTTAAAAGTACAAAGTGGAAAAGTGGTGTTATTGGATGAACAGGTATCCACGCATGATACAATCACAGTATTAGCTGGAAAAAAAAAAAAAAGGTGCTGTATTAGCAAGACAGTCATATAGGACACGTGGATAAATCTGTGCATCGAAGCATCATGTAATAGATCCTTTACCCATCTTATGATGAAATGCACTTTATTGAGGGTTATGGCAGCATACTGAATGCATCGACAAGTGAGACAAAGCAAGCGCAGTCTTCCCACAACCTAGATGCTGGGTTTTATTGCTGAATTGTATTAAATCTCCTGTAATACCAACTTAAGTTTGTGGTGGTATCTAGTCACATTCCTGATTCAAAGCTGCTCTTATTTGATTGTACTTCTAAAGAAGATGAAAGCACTCATGTTTGGAGGGGGAACTTAGCCCTGGAACTGTGCAGTTGCAACACACCAGAGCAATGTTGCAAAATCATAGAATCATAGAATCATTA